GATTTGAGAAATCGCAGACAAATGTCTGAAATCACAGGCAAATCGGTATTTGCTCATGCGAGTAACAATCGCACAGTGTGAACTATCAAAGACGCAATCTGAGAGAATCGCAGATGAGTCGCTGATGCCCATGAGATATTTGGCGTACTAAATATCTGGTGCTGGCGATTCAAATCATGCCGTGTGAAATGAGTTTTGACTGAAAATAACATCGGCGATCACCAACAGCCAATGAGAGAGCAGCATCCACTAGTACGCTGCAGGCCAGCGAGAGGTTGTGGGAGAAGTTAAAAGCACTCATTTTCAGTTTATTTGAACTCAAGAAATGGAGGAAAAACTAGTGGAAATTTGTCTGTTTGACATGTCATGTGAGCAATACCACAACCGGGTCAAAAAAAAGAAAAAAGTTGAGGAGAAATTGCTAATTCCCTTTAAACCTAGGTGAGCAAATATGTATATTTTCTACCCCCCTAAAGGCTTCTTTCTCATTATGTAGTTAATAACAAAAGATATACTACGTGTTTTTTTTTTTTGTGAGATGTAGTTTGGACAAAGTTGTCGGCAATTCTCCCTATTATAAAGTCATGCAGTGTGAAATCCCCTTCCCCTGTCGCAGATCAAACTTGCAGTGTAAACAAAGCAGCGACGAACAACTAGCCCAGATAGTCACGCAGTGTGAAAACATCTGTGACACGACTACTTGGAAAAACATGCAGTCTGAATGCGCCATTAGCTGTAATCATGCCAAGCATTAGGCCTTGGGTTAACAGAAAGGTCCATTATATTAAAATATCCAAAAATAGCCAAATTGTAGTCAGGTTGGATATTGGTTCCATAGGCACTGGAAAACAATTAAAAAATGTTGGACCAAAACTCATAAATAACAGGACAATGTGCAGTATTTTCACGCAGACAATACTAAGAAACACCCACTTTAAATACATGAATGTTGCAGTTGACCAAAAAACTGACGTATGGATTGTTGGACAACTTCTAGACACAGCTAAAAATCGTAAAGTATTGAGAGATATAAAGTCACAGTGACAAAAAAAAAATGCTCTTACCACCTAAACATCAAAAAATTTCCTGGAAAATTTCTGGAAGATTCTGACAGTAAAAGTCTACACTATGAAGTATAAACCTGTAATTTTGGGAACTAAAAGAAACCTGAATAGCAAAATAAAGTTACAGCTGCTTTTTTTTAAACGAGGAACAAGTCTCCAAACACTGAAATGCAAAATAATCTTGTTAAATTCATACACTCCACATAGCGTATTAAAAAATGCAAGACATGTGTCACCTAGTCATTTTTTGTTCCGTCTCTGTAGCTCCCAGAGGATGCAGCTTCTCAAGACGCCATGATGGCGGTGCTGGTGGAGATGGGCTTCGGTGATCGAGCTCTAAACCAACGTCTACTGCAGAAACACAACCGCAACCTGCTGGACGTGGTAAACGAACTGGTGCAGATGACCGACAACGACTGGTACACGACACGCTACTGAGACGCTGGCCAATCATTTTGTTTCTCTTATATCGGTTTGATTTTGTTGCCTCTTTCTCTGTGCAATCAGCAGCCCATTCCATCATCCAGTCTCTTTCGTTCCATTTGGGTTGTAAAGATAGTTTGTGTGACTCTGTCTGCTCCAATGTGTAACGGATAATCGTTAGAGAAGCAGTTCATCACCATAATAACCGTGCTTGTTCAAGTATGTTGTTAGTGGGCATTAATGTTTGATCATGGGAAGCTTATAAACACTAATAGGTAACTCTTATTCCCAGACTCTCCAAGAGATATGCTTTGAAGCAACGGTGTACTTCACCACAAATCATTCGAATGATAAAGCTCTGCAATGTGACTGGATGTTTTTACACTTTATAGGGTTTTCCAGGTTAAGAACTGTTTTTTTTTTTGGAAAAGTGCAATAGATTTGGCTTTTGTGTGAACTTTAATCGTCAGCCGAGACCAAATAGAGGAAAAACTTTGAGGCTTCTTGAGTTTAAAGTCTTCACTTTTGTCATCATATGAGATGACATTTAATTATTCCTTGCTGGAGAAGTCAATATTGAGTTTAGTGTATGAATGTGTTTTGTTTTCAGTCATTTTGAGCTGTTATTGCTTATAATACATGCGAGAATAATTATATTAAAGACCACTGATTCTATTCTAAAAGGTCCACAAAATAGGGCACACTCTGCACTTTGTGAATGGATTGCCATGCAAACATGTGAAAAACATCATGGCTAAGAGTGGCAATGCATTCAAGTAGATAAATGGATGGCGTTTTAATTTATGCTTTAAATAGTTAAAGACCGCAGAGGCAATCATGGCGTATTTAATTCCAATTTTAACTAGAGACACATCATAGTGAGACAAAATACAGCCTACTGTTCATTCAAAAAAAAAAAAGAAATCACGCAAAAGATATATATATATTTTGATAAATGATAGCTCTTGTATTTAGTGATGAGGAATGTATCTCTGCGCATTTATTCTTCAATGGGAGATTTTAAAACTACCTACTGTCTAGAGTGTGGAGGGCATTCCCTTACAATCATTTAGCGTCTCCTTGGTTTGCTTTAGTCGATGAAGCTCACGCAAGTGGTTCGTCCATGGGTTTAACTGAATAATCAGCTACTTTTACTTCCAGAGCTAGGGTTTAATTACGTTTAACACATTCCTTTAAAAAAGCTGTAGCTGGTATTGGTGCTTGCAGCGATCATTTAAGGTTCTGGGTGGAATTGTATGTATGGATTTTAAGCATAATCAGTGGAGACAGACGCACCTCACTCTGTGTTTGATGCCTGAATGGAGTATTCATATCGTCTCTGCATCTATGTACACATCTGTCTGTAATAAATATCCTTATAAGTCTGACCTTTGCCTTCTGTATTTGTTATCAGTTCACTACAAGATGGATATAGTAAATGCGCTGGCTGAATCCTTTGGAAAAAACTCGTCAATAGAAAACTGCCTTCCTGAATTTCAGCTAATATGAGCACAGGAATGTAAAGAACTAAATTTTAGTTCTGATAACAAGGAAGTATACAACCAACCTTTTAAGATGGAAGAATTAATGAACTCCTTAAAATGTTCACATGATACAGCTATTGATCCAGATAAAATTCATTACCAGTTCTTAAAGCACTTACCACATAGTTCTCTATGTCTTTTATTGGATAGTTTTAACCTTGTCTGGTCTTCTGGTAAAATACCAGCTTCCTGGAAAGAAGCAACAGTAATACCTATACCTAAACCAGGAAAAGACCCCTCTGATCCAAATAACTACAGACCAATTGCTCTAACCAGTTGTTTATGTAAAACTATGGAGAGAATGATTAATAACCTTCTTGTCTGGATACTGGAATCAAATAAACAATTAACTGACTACCAGTGTGGATTTAGACGTGGAAAGAGCACGTTGGATCAATTAATTCGAATGGAAACCTATATCAGAGACGGATTCATCAGGAAAGAACATGTTGTTGCGGTCTTTTTTGATTTGGAAAAAGCATATGATACAACATGGAGGTATGGAATTTTAAAAGATCTTTACAGAATGGGATTTAGAGGAAGGCTTCCTATCTTCATCCCAAACTTTCTCACTAGAAGGAACTTTAGAGTTCAAGTGGGAAATTCTCTATCAAATGATCACAAACAAGAACTTGGAGTTCCTCAAGGAAGTATACTCTCTGTCACACTCTTCAGCATCAAGATAAATAGCATTGTGGAAATCATTCGACCAGACATGTTCTGCAGCCTTTATGATAGATGATCTTTGTATCTGCTACAGAGGGAAGAATATGAGCACAATTGAAAGGCAGCTAAAATTATGTATTCACAGAATTAACCAGTGGTCTGTTGAAAATGGTTTTAAATTCTCTAGAACCAAAACTGTTTGCACACATTTTCCAATCAAAGTAGTTAAAGAAATCAAGTTTTTAGGTCTTCTTTTTGACAACAAAATGACTTTTATCCCTCATATGAAGTTGTTAAAAAACAAGTGCTTGAAAGCAATGAACATAAGCAAAGTGTTGGCAAAAACTAAATGGGGAGCAGATTTAACTGTACTTTTGCGTCTTTATCGAGTTCTCATTCGATCCCGTTTGGATTATGGGAGTATAATTTATGATTCTGCCAGAAACTCGTATAAACAGATCCTCAATACAGATGATGTACTGTATTGAGATCCTCAATACAGTACATCATCAAGGATTACGAATTTTAAGGCATTTTAAGAATCGATTTGATCAAGTAGTTTTTACCAGATGTCGTATTGGGCATACAAGAATAACACATGGTTTTTTGCTCCAAGGTGAAAACCCTACTTTGAAAAACTAGTTTGTGCTGCAAAACTCCTCTTACTGTAAAACATATTTTACTGGACTGTCCTGCTTTTACTGATTCCAGAAGGACTTTTTATGAAATTAACTCTTTTAAGGACATTTTTGAAAAAGTGAAACCAGAAAAGATTTTAGAATTTTTATCATGATTAAATGTATTAAAAAAATCTTATTTATTAATGTTTTATTTTTATTTTTTTTTAATTGTATATTTATTGTTGAAAGATTCCTGCCATGAAGATAGCCTTGGTTGCTGACATGGCATTATATAAAAAATACATTACATTACATCAGTTCACTACAAATTCAAAAGTGAACTGTACTTTGATTAAGACTGTTCAGTTTTCCCATTATACTATAGGGCTGCACAAACCTTTTCCTTTAAAAACATGTATTACGAAAGCCCTGTTTATTTTTAGGTGCGGTTTTCAAGAAAACAAATCAGTAAATACACACATACTTTTTCATAAGTCAAATAAGTCAAACAAGAGAATGACACTCTTAATTCATATTTGCTGAGGTAATAAATAGATATAAATGTAAAAAGAAATCTAAATGTAGGAATGTATAACTTACATATACTAGCAGAGGTCACATGTAGAACATATTACTGAATTATTGGAATGCACATTCCAACAGGTCAGAATAATCACATTACATAGGAAAAGATCACACTTTATTTTTAGGCTTTACAAAACAAGTGCAATGTACAACAAAACTGGAAAAAAACAATAAAAACATAACAACAGGTCAAAAGATATGTTATTACACAATAAAAAAAAAGCTTAATGCCTCTTAAAATATGTAGTCTATGTCATATCAAAATACTCAGATTTGTGGACTTATTTAGTTAGGTTTAAGGGTAAGGATAAGATTTTAAAACAGAAATGACGTTCCAGGATCACATCTTAATTGGCAAAATCAAACCCACCAAAAGAAAATGAAAAAATCCCTGAATTTGAAATTGCCATGGAGTAAAAAACACTATTGGATCTGAGTATTGTCTCTGAAAAACAGCCTCTTTGTGAGCATGGACGCAAAGCAAGGCATCTGTTTTTTGCCAATAGCAGCGCGATTCCTGCAGTTTGGTACAGAGCGCAATGAAACTTTCATGTTAACAAGCGTCAGGATGTCAGTGAACTGTAGCTCTGAATGATAACGCCCCAAGATTTCACACAGATCCTGAATGTACCATGAGCCATTCAAGGGCTCACGAAAAGAGCAAAATCCTTTAAAAGAAAATAAACAATGCAATCAATTTTTAAAAGTCTGACATTACAGTAATGGAGGTACATTGCATCCAAGTTGTTAAAAGAAAAACAATAATAAAATCTCAGTAAAACGAAACAAAGATATAAACACTGACCTTCAGCTGTTGAGTAACACATAATGAAATCTGCTCCTGCTGGAAGGGTGTAAAGCACTCCTGCATCTACAGCCATTTCAACATCCTCCACACTCATTTCAGTCACAGCATCATCCAGTTTGTCACCACGGCAAGCCTGTTTTTTCAAAGAAACCACAGATTTAAATGAGATCTAAATTCACATGCCGATTTGTGGATGACATTTTGTGAAGAACACAATTACCTGCCAGATGAAGATCTTGGGTTTACCCACAAGACTACGACATTTATCCCCCTTGAACAAATCAGTAATTTCAGGTATTTCGATCTTCTTATCATTGGCATAAACATGGCCATCTTCCCCATGACTTAAAAAGATGCAGACGAAACAGTCTGCATCTACATGATCAGCAGCAGAGGCTGAAACCAAAAGAATATTGTGGATTAAACAGAACCAAAATTCATTTAGAAAACCATGTGTCGATACAATAATAAAAAATATATATCACTATCTCTAAAGTTAACTTATTTCTTGCATATCAATGTGAATAATTATTGCAGAAATTACATCCAGATGTCAGAACAAAAATACCAAAAAAGCTAAATAAAGTAAATAACAAAGTAAACACAATTATTCTGAATATATTCCACAAAAAACATTCTAAGTCAAACAAAAGTTGCACAAATAAACACTAAACGATGTCTACAACAAGCCTTTCATACACAACCTGCTGCATCCCAAAAACAAAGATCAAAATGGTTAAAAAGCTATAAATACTAAAATCCTAACAAGCGTATTGTTTTGCCCTTGTTTTGTGCTTCTCTGTGCCTGAGAAGATAAACCAGGTTTTTCAACTTTTATTGGAGGAAGTGGATCATGAAGAGGATGATCACTCTGTGGCATTTATTGTATTAATAAAAAAATATGTAAAACTTAACTAATTCTGCTTCAAAAAAATGAAAAGTAATGAGAAAGAACTGTTGTGAATAACCCTTTGCAACGCAAACAATAGATATGATGTGGAGAAAATGAACAATGACTTTCGTCATGACAGTTAACAGAGCAACAAAGACACTGTTGATGAGAAGCTGTATTTAGCAATACTCAGGTTTAACTCTCATTTCTTAAAATGTGTCAGAAATAAAAAAAAATGGATGTTGTACCTTCTTGAATTTTCAACAAAACGTCATCCCGACTATAATCATTATAAGCCTTCACCTCAAAATTCAGCTCTTGAAATCTTCAAAAAAACATGAAGAATCAAAATGTTAATTACAGTTTCTTTACCTCAATACAATACAGGAAAAATTACTTGCTTATTAATTACTTGCTTTAATCGGCATGTTTTGCATCAAATACCTGCTAACAAGGTCGTCTCTGTCTTTATCTGTGCCATTGCGGGTTTTCAGTCCGAGCTTCCAATCGAATTGTTTCTGGTTAAAGATGAGAGCCATTCCTCGCCTTGCGTGTCTCATATCATACTCTTGATTTGGATACACACTAAAGACAAAGATGAATTACATGTAAAATTACATAACATTTGAAGCATTAATAACAGTATCACTTTACAATAAGGTTTCATTAGTTAATGCATTCATAACATGAACAAACAATAAACAATACTACTATTACAGCATTTATTAATCTTAGTTGATGTTAATGAAATTCGTTGTGAGTCCTTATTAATTGATAGTGATTAACAAATGTTAACAAGCACAACTGTGGATTTTAATATTCTGTTAGAAACTACTGAAATTAACAAACTAAGCCTTATAATTTATGCACAAGTCTATATTATTATTACTTAATAGTAAATAAATTGGCTAATGTAACTAATGTACAGTGTGATAAATGAGTAACTCAATCTCATAACTGTACAATGTTTACATAAATACATTGTATCCTTTTTAAGGAGTTACCTTTGAATCCTGCCATCGGTTTCTGTTATATTTTCTTTAACAAAGAAAAAAAAAAGTCCAAATCAGAAAACAGAAAACTGCAAATCACTCAAAAATTGCAAGTGAACTTAAAGAAAGAAACAAGACCACAGTACGACACTCGACATGTAATAAACATATGAACATACAGTACTCAACATGTAAAGTGGATTAAAATCTTTCATCAAAGTTGTCCTAAAACTGTTGGAAAATACCCATTGTTGTCTTTTGATCATTTTAAAAGGATCAAAAAAACCTTTTCAAAATTATCATAAGACAACAATGGCTGTTTTACAACAGTTTCAACTTTGATAAAAGATTTTGATCCACTTCAAATGTTGAGTACTGTACATGGGCAAAGATACATACACGACGTTGGAAGGTATGCAAACATAATACAGATTTGCATATGAATAGCACATAGACAAGGAAAAAATGCAATCTATATAAACCTTTACAATCATAAATATTTAATCATAGATAGTTTTTGGACTAACTGTGGTCAAAGAGATATAGAGAAATTCTAATGAAATGATTAAATTTCATTAGAAATTCATTCATTAAATTAAATGAATTCATTCAGTCATGGAAATTTCAATCGTTAAATTTCAGTATTAAAGTTGAGAAATTTTAATGGAAGTACACAGACTTTTAAACATGGCATATACATCATTAATAGAGAGTGTTCTCACATATAATATTGCTTCATGGTTTTGTAGCACAACACAGAAGAAGATATTATTGCAAATTATCAATCAGGAAAATAAGATAACTAGTCACAAAAAACATTCGCTGCAGATTCTATTTGACTCCTTTATGGAAAAAACAGCAATCGGGATTTGGAAAGATAATACTCATCCCCTTCACTCTGCTTTTGAATCGTTACCATCAGGACGCAGGTTTAGAATTCCTAAAGCCCAAAGAAATGCTTATAAAAAGTCATTTATCCCAATAGCAGTTATTTTAAATCGGATTTGAAGTGAGTGAGGTGGTTGCCAAGAATGATCTGCAGTATTTTGTAAAGGGTTAACTTGGTTTTTAAACTTTTAACTTATGCTTTTGTTTTGATGAATATTGTTATTGTGTGGTTGTTGTATGTTTGTAATTGTTGTCTTAAATCCAGTGTTGAAGAAAAATTTCCTTTCTGTGTCAAGCAGAACGGACAATAAAGTTTAAACTAAATTCAGAGAACCTATTTTAAGGTCAAGTCTACTGATCAATGAACATGCTCAAGTTGGAGTTTAATGGCTTAATAACGCTGCTGAAGAAAAGAAGAGGTTTTGATTGCAGTTTCTACTGCAAATATTACTAAAACACTACAACCATCAATCACCAGTCGTTAAATAAATTACACTTTTATAGTTTCTAGTGTGTTTATGGGAGATGTCACCAACAGAAGAACAATAAAAATCAAATTTTAACCATTAAATTCTGAGGGTTTATATTATACATTGAAAAATAAACTAAAGTAAACCTTAAGCTTTTCCTATATTTACACTGCTAGCACACTTTTATAAGACCAAACATATTAATTTAAATTATTAACTTTTAACCAAATGTGCCGAAATAATGAAATGAAACCTGCAGATGAGCATGAACAAGAAACATTTTACACAATTCTTTTATTCAACCAGATGAATCGCTTACCTGATTCATGGCTTCTGGTGTTAGTTGCCATCGCGTTTGATTTGTTGGGGTGGAGTGGTGGAGTCTGTGAAATTTAGGAGCGTTTTAATGACAAACTAATAAACAACGCAGTCACCTGAAGGCAAACGAGTCACTAAAGCGTTAACCAATCATACAGTAGCTCAGTAAAGTTGTGCCAATAACGTTGTCTGTCACGTTCCCACCCTTCTTTCTCTTTCAACGCATACAATACAATGCAGTATAAACTAGTTTTACAGACATTTCTCTGGGTTAAGATGAGATTCATTGTGTGACCACAGTCTGTGGTTTTGACAAATTTGTTTTCTAAGGAAAGAAAACAGTGGAAACAGGTTGGCTATAATACAGGTCGGCCTTGAATGAAGAGCCTAAATGTTGAAAACTGAAGAATAAACATCTTTACATACTTTGGTTGCAGCACAGAATATTCTACTGGCATAATAGGAATTACATTACTTTTGTCCTCAGATGTTTCACACCTATTTTTTTCCCATTGCTACATCCTGGTAAAGTAAAACTAATTAGGCTACTGTTTAACCATTGACGGGTTAAAAATGAAAGTAAAACTAAAGTACTGTTTGCAATGTCATCCTCACCTTTTTAAAACGTGTAAAATACACTGCACAAATTGTAATGGTCACAGCGTCTAAGCAGCTGTAGCATAATAATAATAATAGTAATAGTAATAATGCAATAGTATAATTTGGGAGATTTTCCTTTTTGAAGTGTGTAAATCTATTGTTTCTATCCATTGGCCAATACAATTACACAGATTTGTTGAATAACAGACAAATGTTTATGTAAAGATAAAATATGTAGGTGCTTTTTTTGATCCACAATTAATCTCTGCAATTTAATAAATCTAAATGACTGCAATAAAACAATAGAAAATAAATCTATACTGTTTTAATGCATTCAACATGACAGCTTGTTTGGCGAGCATTCTTAATAAAGATAACACAACACCAAAGTAGTAGTTCCCAAACATTTATTTTCAGTTCAAACTTTGTGATATGTGATATTTACTTGAAAATCCATTCCAAGCCCTTATCAAAACAATCAAGTCAAATCAAAGTTTAGTGAGGTATATACTTCATAGAAAAAAAAAAAGAAAAAGTTGAGTCTTAAAAGCAGGAATGCAAGTTTAAATATTCAGACAGGTCTGTTCATGCTAGTGTATAGGAAAAGTCTCATACACAGATAAAATGCTATCATAGTGAAACAGGTCTGAACACAGCCACTAACACAATTAATATGATTTCATTTTCAAGGACATAATACATATTACAGTTGCACCAACATTAAAATGGTCAAGTTATTCTTTTCAACCTGAAGAAATCATATATAAAGAGATAAAAAAACACTCACACAAAACAATATGACAAAAAATGTATCAGGATTTCATTTTAGGTTTAGCAAACGAAGTGTTACATAATTAAAAAACTCAACACCAAAATAAACATTCTATTATATAGTGAGCAAAATCTTTGATCAGAGAGGTGTAGTGTGTCTTTGTGGCTATATCACTTCTATTTAACATTTATGGAAAGTCACAATGCAAACAAAAACATAAGCCCTTTTTTAATTCCATAAGCCCATTGTAAAAAAGTAATTGTTTGTATACACAGTCAGTGGACAAGAAAGTTTGTGTTTTAGGATTATTTTAAAGATTTTCAAGTTTTAAAGTATTAAATCACTGGACATTTGTATTTCGCCTATTTCTGACTAAAACTCGCCATCAACAGTCTAAAAAAGGTACTACTATTAATACATGTCATAGATAAACAAGACCAATTTTAGTGTGGTTAATGACAGATTGTGATTACACATACCGCACAGCATTGGTATAAAGTTATATTAAAAAAAATCCCAAAAATATAGTTTCACAGTGATCTGATTTATATCTTTAGTTATTCCTTGCAGAAATATCTGGGAATGTCCTTACCTTAGCCTGCAGGCAACTCAAAACATGTTTTGCATGATTAATAATACTTCCTTGTACAGTAAACAGTAAAAAAACCTGAATCAAATTATTTGCAGAATTTTAACCTGCCCTTTCAAACCTTCAAATGGTCTGTCTGTCTGTCTGTCTGTCTGTCTATCTATCTATTTATCTATCTATCGGAAAAGATTAAGAGACCACTTAAGAGACGTAAATTGGTTGTTTTTGCGTTATTTCAAGCAAATTCGTACTTCCGGTTTGAAACTAATTTTTGAAGCTGCGTCACGGCCATGACATAATAGGGTGTATTCCAGCGTGCAGACAGGATGTCCATGCCAGAGTGTGTCTTATTACGTCTTACAGTGTGTTGCATTAATGCATGAGTAAGGCTTTGTTCAAACCAATCAGCGCGCTCTATTTTGCAACTTCATTAATATTCATTTCTGTCACAGTGTTTAGATGACAGACACACCACGTTGTATTGGCAAAACAAGCGTGAAGTGTTGCTTTTATAGTTTGCTGCAGTTAAGTTGTTTTCATTTTCTCTCTGTGAGAGCGCAGCTGGAGTCACGTGTGGATTAACAGTGTACTTACGTGTCTAAGGAGGATTATTGTTTACCTGAGAGCTGTTCTCATCTGCAAACGATAAGATCTGGATTCGCTTGTAGTCTTCTCTTAATAAAGACACGGTTCTAGTTGCTGGTGATTGTCCTGCCTCTACAGATTTGGTAAGTGAGCGACCAGTGCTCTTTGTTTATTCAGTTTGTTCGTATCGAACTAAGTTAACTATTGCACTGAGTGTAAACATGTTAGCACCACAACCAAACTTTAACCTCGTGAAGGATTTTCGCCGCATTTTGTGACCAGAATAACACGCGCGGCTTACTGACACTACCTGCTGTGTGCATCTAAGTTTCCGGGAAATACTGAGGGTTTTTTTTCTCATTCACCATACGGTATCAAACATTGCATGAAAAATACATGCTTAGAGCAGCTCCTCGAATCAAATATTTAGTTTGTCGCGAGGGGCATTAATGAATTCCCTGAATGAAAGAGCCAAACTGCAGTTAAAGTCCACCATTTAATAATTTGGCATATAATTCGACTACAGATGTCCATGTAAACACCATCACTTTCTCCTGTGTGTGTGTGTGTGTTTTGACTCTGAAACTCGTGCGTGCCCAAATAGACACTCCCACACCATCCCACTTTAGTTCCTCCGACACTCCCCCCTAACCAGAGCTGGACACGCTGTGAAAACACCCTGCTGAAACAAGGTGGTTTCATGGCCCTTTAAGTCTTGAAACAGGGGTGAAATAGGTTCCCTTTAAAATACAAACAGGTTTCTGAAAAAATGGTTTAGTACATGAAATATTGATTTCTTAAATTAAAACCTTGATAATGTGTTGTGTACGAATGAATTTAAACATGTCAGAAGACATGGGATCTTTGTTATTTTATGCAATACAAAAATGACAAAATTTGTATTTAATTTTGGAAGAGTTGTCTTCAGTAGTGCTCAGAATTAAAAAAAATATATATACGTTTTATAAAAAAAAACAAACAAAAAAAAACTATAAATTGTCAATTCAGAGAAACCGAAATTAAATAGTCATAAACTAAATAAATCTAAGAAATTTGCATAATCCCTGATTTTGTACCAGTAATAGGCCTAAACACTAATATTACTTTTTGGGCCTGAAAAACAGCTTCTTAGTGAGCATGGATGCAAAGCAAGGCACCTGTTTTTTGCCAACAGCTGAGCGATCCTTGCAGTTTAACACACTGCGTAAGGAAACTTTCCTGTTAACAAGCGTCAGGATCTCAGCAAACTCCAGTTCTGAACCATAACGCCTCAGGATTTCACACAAATCCTGAATGTACCATGAGCCATTCACAGTCTCACGGTGAGAATAATACCCTTTAAAGAAAACAGACAAACAATATAAATGTCTCTTTCTAAGATGTAAACAGCAAATCATTTACAGTACCAGAATTCTCAAACACACAGACCTTCAGCAACAGAGTAGCACATAATGAAATCTGCTCCTGCTGGAAGAGTGTAAAGCACTCCTGCATCCACCACCATGTCATTTGTCACCTGACTGTCCACCACGTCCATCGGAGTCACAGGATCATCATGTTTGTCACCACGACAAGCCTTGTGTTTAAAAACACTTGCATTAACACTGAATTACTGTAACTCAATCAGACATTGTATTTGATAAATGAAAGGCATAATTACCTGCCAGATGAAGATCTTGGGTTTGCCCACAAGACTACGACATTTATCCCCCTTGAACAAATCAGTGATTTCAGGTATTTCGATCTGCCCATCATTGGCATAAACATGGCCATTCTCCCCATGACTTAAAAAGACGCAGACAAAGCAGTCTGCATCTACATGGTCAGCAGCAGCGGCTGAAACCAAAGAAACATTATTATAAAATTAATTTAATCCTCTCCATCAGCTTACAAAACCCCAAGAATCAATTGGCCCCAAAAATTGTAAATTCTGTTATCATTTACCAACCCCTAGTTTTAAATGTACAAGCACAAACAGTAGATTTTTTAGATACTTTTGTCCCTCAAATGAAAGTACTTTCTCTGGGTGAAAATATTTTCAACCTCTCAAACTTGATAAATATCTTGAACAAAAGTCTTACTGCTTTGGACATAAATAATAGAATCTTCCTTTTGGAGCACACAAGTATGACAAGGGTGACAAAATGTTGCTTTTCAGGCACGCTCTGAGTCACTCACACACACACACACACACACACACACACACACACACACACACACACACACACACACACACACACACACACACACACACACACACACACACACACACACACACACACACACACACACACACACACACACACACACACACACACACACACACACACACACACACACACACACACACACACACACACACACACACACACACACACACACACACACACACACACACAAACACACACAAACACACACAAACACACACAAACACACACACACACACACACACACACACACACACACACACACACACACACACACACACGAGCAATTCCATGCAAATGTCAACCTTGCCATGAAAAAAAAAGTTTTCGCCAAAATAGTGAATCGGTTTCTTCATTTTTTGTGTAGGCTCATATTTTACAGTGATTCAAAAATGTCTCTGTAAATGTTTTTTAAACTATTTGGTAAACTTGATTTTGCTTTTTCCTCATAAATGCAAAAATGTAAAATCAAATCAATCATGTTTGTTCTATAGTGATTAAACACTTCTCCTTTTGATTATCATTGTTTCTTTTGATTTGTGCAGTTTAAATCACAGAATTTCTACAAAGTATTTTGTATACTGTAAACGTGCAGACTTTTTTTTGTCACATCCATAATGCATGTTTATTTTCCTTATTTAAAATATAAAAAACGTTTACAGATTGATATTTTTCTGCTCCCATAACTATTTGTTTAGAAAAATATAAAAGGATGTTTCAATATAATGTTAACATAGACTTCCTCCATCAACTTATGTTTTGAGATTTTTCTATAAATGTCACATCCATAACGCTGGAACTGCTCATATATAAAATATATTTTTATTTTTATTAAACAAAATGATTTTAATTCTGATTGAGTTGAAAGTCCATTAAATGTAAATACAGTTTTGGCAATTGGTTATTTTACACCGATATATTCTTAGACCTAAATCAAATACAATTAAACAGGTTAATTGGATTTACATAACAAATATAATATTATTTTAACAGCTACATATCAGTAGAATTAGTAGAAAAAATATGGATAATTAATGTTTTTAAATTTAACAAATAACATTTGTCATTTCAGCATGCTCAATTAGCACGCTTGCAAATTATGAAAAAATTAGCCTTAAAGAGAATATATGAAAGATACAAGCAACACATACCCTCTGTGATTTTGGACAAAACTTCATGTCGTTTGTAATCATCAAAAGCTTTAACTTCAAAATTCAGCTCTCGAAATCTACCAACAGTTATAGAGAAAAATTAACAAAAGTAACTTTAATCCAAGACCAGAAAACAGTACAATATTAGCATGCACAACTAATAGGACTTTTTGTTTGCTTGGTTAAATACCTTCTAATAAGGTTCTCCTTGTCTGCATTTGTTCCAGAACGGTAGCCCAATCCCAGTTTCCAAAAGAAATTTTCATGATTAAATATGAGAGCCATTCCCCGTCTCTTGTGGTTCATATCATACTCCTGATTAGGATCCATACTAAATATACTGTCAAACAATTTATTTATACATAAGTATAGTACATTCCCCATTACTAATATGATTACAATCTTTGGCAAAATACCTTTGATTAAAGCTATCAGTCTCTGTCAGGTTCTCTTCAACTGAAAAAAGAAAACACCATCAAACATTTGGCTTGCACACACTCTAGACATTAAAGGTACAGAGCTGTCAATGGGGTGGTACCCTTGCAGAAGGTACATGTATGCACCTAAAAGATACATATTAGTTTTTTTTTTTTTTTTTTTTTTTTTTACATATTACTTATGTTAGAGGTAATATCATTAGTACTTTAATTTTCAAAAGATACTATTGTACTAAGGTATCAATATATAGACCCTTTAGGTAAAAATGTATCCCTTTTTGAAAGGGTACCTCCACAGTGACAGCTTTTGTAGCTTTATTTCTAATGAGTGTATCTGGGATCTGGTGTATAGAGTATGCAAATATTCAGAGCATGCATTTATTTCACAAAAATGCAAACCAGGCTAAGATTTGTGACCACTATGCTTTAAAGGCTGTACTTAAAATCTAAAGTTCACTGAACATATACTGAGGTCAAGCCTGTATTGTTTATTGAGCACCTGGTCAAGCTGGATTTCAATGGCTTTGCAAACAGGCTGTCTAGCAAAGCAGAGTAGACATAGGCTAATAATGCTATATTTACACTCCATACAAACTATTTCCACTCATTCTGATACTTGGAACAAACACGACAATAAAGTGGATTCAGTTTTACCTGTCTGTCCTGCTGAAGCGCTGTCCTTCTCCACAGCTGCTAAAACAAAAAATACACTCTTTTTATAAGCGCTGTGACTCAAGTTACAGTAAGTATGAACTCATTTAGTCAAACATTGTAGTTGACATTTTATGTGTTTTAACGCGAAAAGGTGTTATTTGTGAACAAATACCTTCTACCTTTATCAGGTGCTAAAATAAGGAAATGAAACTCGCGGTCTCACATGAACAGCATTCACAGTGTAGCTACACACATTCAAGTTATTTATCTCCATACAGAGAAACTAAACTAATCCCTTACCGGATCCGTCGCTCTTAGTGTGACTTGCCATCGTTATTTATGTGAATGTAGGCGAAATTGAGAAGAAATGTAGAGACAAACCAACTTCAGCAAACACAGACCAGTCACCAAGTGCAACAGTAAACCTATCGTGGGTCACTAAATCTTTAACCAATCACAGGACACTACAACGTTACCCAATCACAACTCTGCAAACCTTTGGTGGAACTCAGTTGGTTACTTCCGCATTGAATTCTTTCTTTCTTTCTTTCTTTCTTTCTTTCTTTCTTTCTTTCTTTCTTTCTTTCTTTCTTTCTTTCTTTCTTTCTTTCTTTCTTTCTTTCTTTCTTTCTATTATATTATATTATATTATATTATATTATATTATATTATATTATATTATATTTATTCATTCATTCGGCTTAGTCTCTTTATTTGATCAGGAGTCGCCACAGTGAAATGAACCACCAACTTATTCAGCATATGATTTTACACAGTGGATGACCTTACAGCTGCAAACCAGCACTGGGAAACACCCATACACTCACATTCACACACATACACTAAGGCCAATTAATTTAGCTTTAGCTTCTTAGCCTTAGCTTTTTAATTCACTTATACCGCATGTGTTTAGACCAGGGGTGCCAAAACATTTTCTTATGAAGGGCCAAAAACCAAACTTGATTGAGGCTAGTGGACCGAAGGTAAATATAGTTGCAATGGGTAACTTTCTAAGTTACTTATTAATGTTTAAAAATGACTAAAAAACATTGCTTTATATTAAATAAACTATTTATTTGTATTTTTTTTTTACATTTTATAATGAGTTATTACAGTTTTTATAATCATTTATAACAGAATTACACTAGTTTTTTGCCTTGCTGTCCGATGTTCAATGTTTTTTTTTTTTGCATAGTTCTCTGACAGTATTTAAATAAAAATCTGATTAATTTACATTTCATTAAAACATTTCATTTTTTTTGCTCTAAATAAAATAAATACAAAGCAATAAAACAAATAAAAAGGTTACGTGAAATTAGAAATGAAGATGTGTTAAAGGCATGCACCCTAACCTTAATTAATCTTAATTAATCATGCAACAAATAAACAAATAAAATATAAATATATATAAATATCACAAATGGCTCCAACATTCATTCATTTTCAGCTTATACCTGTATTGACTTATTATTGTTAAAGTATATTATATTAATTAATTCATTCAGCTTAGTCCCTTTATTAATCTGGGGTCGCCACAGCGGAATGAACCGCCAACTTATCCAGCACGTTTTTACGCAGCGGATGCCCTTCCAGCAGCAACCCGTCTCTGGGAAAATTATATTATGTTATATTATATTTTATTATATTATAGCAACTAATGCATTTAAATTATCTGCAAATATACATTTTTTAAGGAGCTTTAGGAAAAGCCAGGTTACAAATAAAATTCAGCGATTCTCGCTGAAATTAGATAATGTCTCATCACATTAACAAATAAATTAGACAATGTGAATCATGATAAATGAAAGCATTACATTACATTGCTGTTGTGTTGCATCTTTTAATTTTCTAACATTGACTCATATTACATAAAATCACACGCCATAATCCCCATTGTTACGTCCTTGTATTTATTTATTTGTTACTTTGTCACCCTCTAGTGTTTTGTTGCTGTTTTTGATTGAGGAGACCTGTTCGCACCTGCAGATCATTGACCGCCGGCTCACGCTGTAGTACTTCAGTGACTGGGATTTAAGCGGCCGTCCAGACGCGGAGTTGTGCTCCTTTTGTGTTCAGCCTTAGTTTAATGTGTTTTCTCCCCACACTTTGTTTACGTTTGGTTATTTAATTAATAAAACCCCTCGGCCGATCCGGTGACCGTGGTCGTAACACCCATACTTAATTGAAGAAGTCCTGGTAACACTTTACAGAACATGAATAATGATGTATTAATATGTAAACTAAACATTAATTTACTATGAATTAATGATAAGTTAAGGTATGCTCGAACTACCTTTAACTACAACATGAGTCACATGAGTTCATGTGTGAATAACGGCTACCTTAATTACTTTTTAGTACATGATTGTTTGTTAATTAATGTATTAATTATCACATTAGTTTATCCTTAATTTAACCATGATGAACTCATGATATGTTAATGTATTATTATGTTGTGACTTTACTTGGAGGGACACATCATCATTAACCCATTCTTAACTACTCATGAACTCCTTATGCACGTCCAACTAGCGAGTTTACACTGAATAACAATAGAAAAGTGTTCTATCAACAAGAACAGGAGTTCATGAGTAGTTAAGGATTTAATAGTGATGTGCCCCTCCAAGTAAAGTCATAATATAATTATACATCAACAGCTCATTAGTTCATGTTGGTTACATTTAGCTTAAACTTAAATGTTAATTAATACATTAATTAACAACATGTACAAACAATTAATTAAGGTAGTCGTTATTCACACATGAACTCATGTGACTCATGTTGTAATTAAAGTTAATTCATGATTAGTGCATACTTTAACTTATAATTAATTCATAATAAAGTAATATTTAGTTTACACATTAATACATCATTATTCATGTACTGTTATTGTAAAGTTACCGCCTCCAGGATACTGAGAGTTAATGTTTGATCTTTATGAATGGAGTATTTATATCGTCTCTGCATCTATGTACTCATCTGTCTGTAATAAATATCCTTATAAGTCTGACCTTTGCCTTCTGTATTTTTTATCAGTGCACCACAAATTCAATATAGTGTACTTTGATCAAGACTGTTCAGTGCACGCTTGTCAAGTTTGGGTTATTTAAAACCAGTCCAGTGCAATCGCTTTGTGTGAATGCTGCCTTGTGCACTAAACAAGCAGATTGAGACCACTTCCAAACAAACTCTGGTGCAGCTTGACTGAAATATGAACACAACACTGACCAAAGACATCTAAACAAACCAAAAATAGGACATGAAGTCATAAGATGCATAAAAAAGTCAGTTTTTGCATTGTTTTAGATTTGTTGAGGAAATTGTTTACATTGTTTACATTTGTTGGGGTAATAATATAGAATGGTGCTGGAATCCCATGCGAATCTGAAATTGATGGAAATCTAAATGCAGCAATGTATAGATTATATATATATTAGCATATTCATATTTGTAATGAATGTAATTCACATGCAGGTCAGATGCAGAAAATATTACTGAGATAATGGAAATCATTGTATATCATGTTGCAGCACATCCTATTTAACACTAATGCACATTCCAATAGGTCAGAAAAGCCACATTACTTAGGAAAAAGATCACACACTTTATTTTTAGCCTTTACAAAGCAATTGCAAAGTGTGACAAAACTGAAAAACCTCATTTTTTAACTAAATAAAGTGATAGACTGCATCAGAAGGGATTAAAAACAGCCAAATATAAAAGTGCAATGTAGTGCTTTAATCACTACATTGTAGATCCATTCAATCAGATTGTTTTGTTTAGTATTTGCTTTATTAAACAGTAATTTTGTTCTTTGTCAAATAGTGTCTGAAGTCATATCAAAATACATTCATTCTTCAGACAACAAGTGTCATTGTGATGCGTTGGATAAAACACAAAATCAAAGGACTGGTCCAATCAGTAATAAGATAAAAATGAAACCAACTCAAATTTGCTCCTGAACAACACTAAAATTGGCCAGTCAGACTTAAGGGATAGATTTAAAGTTTATGTTAAGCTTAATTTACAGTTATGGTTATGTGCATCTACATCATTGTCATCCAATATTAATCCTTTCAGATTTGGGGAATTATTTAAAGTTAAGGGTAGGGATTAGGTATGGATTAGATTTTCATAATGAAATGATGGTCCAGGATAATTTCTTACTTGGCAGATTCACACCCACCAAAAGAAAATGATATAATCCCGCAATTTGAAATTGTCATAGAGTAAAACAGTAATATTACTTCTTAGGCCTGAAAAACAGCCTCTTGGTGAGCATGGATGCAAAGCAAGGCATCTGCTTTGTGCCAGTAGCAGAAAGATCATCGCATATAGAGCGCAATGAAACTTTTCTGTTAACAAGCGTCAGGATGTTGGTGAACTCCAGTTGTGAACGATAACGCCCCATGATTTCACACAGATCCTGAATGTACCATGTGCCATTCAAGGGATCACGGAAAGAGCAAAATCCTTTAAAAGAAAACAAACAATGCAATTAATTTTTAAAAGTCTGACATTATATGGTAAAGTAATGGAGGTACATTGCATCCAAGTTGTATAAAGGATTAAACAACTTGGATGAAAAAGAACTAGACAATTTTGGTACAACAAAGCAAGGATATAAACACTGACCTTCAGTTGTTGAGTAGCACATAATGAAATCTGCTCCTGCTGGAAGGGTGTTAGACACTCCTGCATCTACAGCCATTTCATCATCACTGTCCTCCGCACTCATTGGAGCCACAGGATCATCCTTTTTGTCACCACGGCAAGCCTTGTTTTTCAAAGAAACCACACATTTAAATGAGATCTAAATTCACACATTGATTTGTGATGCAGTACATCACAAAGGACATTTTGCACAATTACCTGCCAGATAAAGATCTTGGGTTTTCCCACAAGACCACGACATTTATCCCCCTTGAACAAATCAGTGATTTCCGGTATTTTGATCTTCTCATCATTGGCATAAACATGGCCATCTTCCCCATGACTTAAAAAGATGCAGACGAAACAGTCTGCGTCTACATGATCAGCAGCAGCGACTGAAAGCAAAAGAAAATTGTGGTCAATACAACAATAAAAATATATATTTTGGTCACTGTTTATGAAGATCCCACATAGCAAAAAGACTTGGCCCAAATGTGGCCTCATTATGGCACTGCTGGCGTGTTGTCGGCACTGGCATTCATAATATCAGCCGAATGTGGGCCATGCATGGCAATGATGGCACTGCATGCATGACGGCAAACTACATTTGGGCCTGTTGTGGATGGGAGGTGTGTGGCCCAGATTAGTGTAGTGATTGTTCACATTGTTTAGGTACAATTAGGTTGGGTTATGGGTCAGTTTTTGGGGTTTCTGGTTAAATGTTGGTGTTGATATGGTTACTTTTAGCTGAGAATCGGTACCAATAATAAACCTGTTTTGGTGCAGTTCAGGGCCAGTTAATGGTAGGGCCAGATGGAATCTGCAGATGTTTTTTGCTATTACTGCAGAGAATTTTTGTAAAAATCTGCGGATTTCTGCGGAATTATTTTGGGAGCGTCATAACTAAAACCTAATACAGTATATGAAATAAAAAGTAATACCTTTTTAACTTTTATTTAATGTTTAAAATGCAAATCCAATTAGATTCACTTCATTTAGTAAACAAAGCAAGTCTCTCATATAATATCTCTACTAAAATACAGAAAATATTACTGTACAAACTGCATTGTACAAAAATTTGATGAACATTTTCATATTAGACAATAATATTACTTTAATTAAAAAAAAACTGAATAAATCTAGATTTACACACATTTACTTAAGTAAATAAACAGAATTAATGATAGCTTAAAATCTGCTGATTTCTGAGCACAGATTCCATGTGGGTCTAGTCAAGGGTAATAAATTGGCTGTGATTCGGACCGGTTATGGCCCATGTGTCTTTAATCCAGTTATGGGCCACTTCAGGACCGTCATTCTTTGTGGTACTTGGGCCGAAAGAAAAGTGTGTGGCCCGGAGCTGGCCCAGAAAACATTTGCTATGTGGGATGGTTTATTTACTTACTGCATATCAATATGAATAATACATTATTACAAAAATTACATCCAGATGTCAGTACAAAATAAAAATGTTACGTCTACATCAAGCCATTCATACACAACCTGAATGCAAAATCAAAAATCAAAATGGTTAAAAAGCTAAAATTACTAAAAAGCTATAAAGCACAGATGCTGTTTACTGAAAGCCCCTGAGCATCCACATTATTTGCATTAAACAGTCTAATGCCCAAAGGTGTGGTGGAACAAGCATATTGTTTTTCCCTTGTTTTGTGCTGTTCTATTTCTCTGTTCCTGAGATGATAAACCAGGTTTTCCAACTTTTATTTAAGGAAGTGGACCATGAAGAGGATGATCACTCTGTGCCATTTTTTTGTATTAATTAAAAAAATGTTAAACTTTACTAATCCTGCTTCACAAAAATGAAAAGTAATGAGAAAGTTAGACCTGAAAGAATTGTTGACAATAACCATTTGCAAAGGAAAACAATGGATATATGGAATTCAGCAGAAAACAAAACAAAACTTAAGATGTGGGAAAATGAACAATGCCTTTCGCCATGACAGTTAACAGAGTGACAAAGATTCTGTTGATGAGAAGCTGCATTTAACAATACTCAAGTTTAACTCTTGCTTCTTAAAACATTTCAGAAATAAAAAATATAGTTGTTGTACCTTCTTTAATTTCCTTCAAAACTTTATCCCGACTATAATCATTATAAGCCTTCACCTCAAAATCCAGCTCTTCAAATCTTAAAAAAACAAACAAACAAACAAACAAACAAACAAACAAACAAACAAACAAACAAAAAACATACAAAATCAGAATGTTAATTACAGTTCAGTTACTTCAATCCAATACAGGAAAAAAAATACTTGCTTTTATCGGCATATCTTGCATCAACTACCTGCTAACAAGGCTGTCTCTGTCTTTATCTGTGCCTTTGCGGGTTTTCAGTCCGAGCAGACTGAAATCTTTCTGGTTAAAGATGAGAGCCAATCCTCGCTTCGCGTGCTTCATATCATACTCTTGATTTGGATACACACTAAAGACAAAGATAAATGAGATGTAAAATAACATAACATTTAAGGCATAAATATATAACGGTATCATACAATAAGGTTTCATTAGTTAATGCAATCATAACATGAACAAACAATAAACAATACTACTATTACAGCATTTATTAATCTTTGTTGACGTTAATAAATTCGTTGTGAGTCCTTATTAACTCTTAGGGATTACTAATATTAAGTAGTACAATTTTGGATTTTAATGTTGTGTTAGAAACTCTTGAAATTAAAATTAACTAATCTTAATAAATTATGTACAAGTCTATCTTATTATTACTTAATATTAGTAAATAAATTGGCTAATGTAATTTTATTGTACAATGTGACAAATGAGTAACTCAATCTCATAACTGTACAATTACTAAATACATAGCATCTTTTTTAAGCAGTTACCTTTGATTACAGCCATCGGTTTTTGTTAAACTTTCTTTGAATGAGAAAAAAAATTCAAAATCAACACAATTGCAAATTGCAAATCACTCAAAATTTGTACACGTTGCAAGTGAGCTTAAAGAAAGAAAGACATATGAACATACAATAGTCAACATTTGAAGTGGATCAAAATCTTTTATCAAAGTTGTCCTAAAACTTTTGGATAACACCCATTGTTGTCTTATGATCGTTTTGAAAGATCTGCATATATAAATAATGTATAAATCAATTCAATCAATAAATAAAAGGAGAAGTTACAAACTAAATTCAGCTGTTTGTCCTCCTGAAGCACCACACTTTTCCACAGCTAGTAAAACATTTTTGTAAGATTAAGTATAAATTTATTTAAATTATTTTCTTTCAACCAAATGTGCCGAAATAATGAAATGAAACCTGCAGATGAGCATGAACAAGTAACATTTTACACAATTATTTTATTCAACCAGATGAAGCCCTTACCTGATTCATTGCTCGTGGTTTCAGTTGCCATCATTATTGATTTGTTGTGGTGCATTCTGTGGAATTTATGAACGTTTAATGACAAACTAATCAACAACGCAGTCACATAGAGTACTTACTGAACCCAAACTATTCACTAAAGCGTTAACCAATCATAGCTCAGTAAAGTTGTGCCAATCACGTTGTCTGTCACGTTCCAACCCTTCTTTCTCTTTCAACACATACAGTACAATGCAATACAGTGTAAGCTACTTTTAATAATGTTCATCCTTTTTTTAAATACAGACATTTCTCTGGGTTAAGATGAGATTGTGTGACCACAGTCTGTGGTTGAGACAAATGCTTTTGTTTTCTAAGGAAAGAAAACAGTGGAAACAGGTTGGCTGTAAAACAGGTCAGCATTGAATGAAGATTTCATTGCTACATCCTGGTAGAGTAAAACTAATTAGGCTACTGTTTAACCATTGACAGGTTAAAAATGAAAGTAAAAATAAAAGTACTATGTACTTTCATTATTACATGTCTCACAGATAAACAAGTTAATTTTTAGTGCAACAGATTGTGATTACAGTACATATAAACTTCTATATACAAACCAAATCCATAAATTATAGTTTCACAGTGATCTGATTTATTGCTTTGATTACTGCAACAATAACTGGGAATGTACCTAAGCCTAAGGTTTTTTTAAACAGTAAAAAAACCTGAAACAAAAATGATTTACACACTTTAACCCTGCCCTTTCAAACCTTCAAATGGTTTATATATACATTTGAAGTCAGAATTATTAGCCCCCCCGTTTATTTTTTCCTCAATTTCTGTTTAATGGAGAGAAAAAAATTCAGCACATTTGTAAATATATTAGTTTTAATAACCTATTTCTAATAACTGATTTATTTTATCTTGGTCATGATTCCAGTAAATAATATTTTACTCGATATTTTTCAAGACACTTCTATACAGCTTAAAGTGACATTTAAAGGCTTAACTGCGTTAATTAGGGTTAACTAGGCAGGTTAGGGTAATAGGGTAATGATGGTTTGTACTGTAGACTTTTGAAAAAAAATTGCTTAAAGGGGCTAATAATTTTTAAATTTTATTTTATTTAATTTTTATTTACTTTGTATTTTTCTGGGTAAAAATACTTTCAACCTCTCAAACTTGATAAATATCTTGAACAAAAGTCTTACTGCTTTGGACATAAATAACAGAATTTTTCTTTTGGAGCAAACTAATCCTTCACAAGCACACAAGTATGACAAGGGTGACAAAATGTTGCTTTTCAGGCACACTGCTGTAGTTCTGTGTCATGAATAATAATATAATTTTTTTTAACAAAATGATTTAAATTGTGATTAAGTTGAAAGTCCATTAAATGTATTTACAGTTTTGGCAATTGGTTATTTTACACTGAGATAATCCTATACATAAATCAAATACAATTAAACAGATTAATTGTATTTACAAAACAAATATGACATTATTTTAACAACTAAATATTATTCATTAATTCATTCATTTTGTTTTCGGCTTCGTCCCTTTATTAATCAGGGGTCGCCCCATGGAATGAACTGCCAACTTATCCAGAAATATGTTTTACGCAGAGGATGCCCTTCCAGCAGCAACCCATCTCTGGGAAACATCCATACACACTGATTCACACTCATACACTACGGACAATTTAGGTTACCTAATTCCCCAATAGTGCATGTCTTTGGACTTGTGGGGGAAACCAGAGCACCCAGAGGAAACCCACGCCAACACGGGGAAAACATTAAAATATATGCAAACTCCACGCGGAAACGCTAAATGATCCATCCGATTATATTATATTATATTATATTATATTATATTATATTATATTATATTATATTATATTATATTATATTATTATTAATTAACAAATTTATAACATTAGTTTGGCACAAGTAAGCCCTACCAATATTCCCTTAGTTATCCTTTAGGAATTCATAGTGTAATACTGGTCCGTTCTGGAGTCTAATATTCCTCTGCCACATCAACTAATACATTTAAATTATCTGCACAGATACATTTTTTAAGGAGCTTTAGGAAAAGCCAGGTTGCAAATCAAATTCAGCAATTCATGCTGAAATTAGTTAATGTCTCATCACATTAACAAACAAATTAGACAATGTGAATCATGATAAATGAAAGCATTACATTACATTACATTGCTGTTCTGTTGCATGTTTTATTTTTTCAACATTTGACTCATATTATATAAAATCACACGCCATAATCCACATACTGATTATTGAATAAATCATTGCTAATAGAAATACAGTGACCAACTAAAATTATTCTTTTGTTTGGGTTCTGTCATATTTTATTTGCTTGAAGCAGCAACATTTGTAATGATCTGACTCACTGACTCAGTATTAATCACAATAGCTTTCATAAATGTTTTCATCAGACTTGTCTGCCACACATTTATTTTTTGTAATGTCCGCATTGACATAGTCTTCTTCAGAGCCCACGTCCACCTTCATGTAATCCTCCTCATAGTCATCATGATCCAAGTTTTTAAACTTTAATTCCACATTCTCATAATAATCATCATCCTCATCATCCTCTTTATAGTTGTTGTCAGCAGATGAGCTTGCATATGTATTAGCTGCACCTATTGCATTAGCATATGAAGGACGATAATGCATTTAGAGATGTTAATAAAGACAGAAATAATCTTTTTTTTTAATGTAAAATTAATTCAAGGTTACCTTTTCTGAAAGAGCACTTCAAATGAGCTTCATCATTCTTCTTCTTTTTCTGTCTCCTCTTAAGAAACATGACGATGATGAGGATGGCCAGTAAGAGCAGTCCGGCTGAAAGTGCAGCACCAATGACAGCAGGAAGCAGAGATGCTGAGAGAGAAACACACACGGTTTGAGTTCAACTTTTATTAGCAGCAGTCCAGCTTGTGTTCAGACTCGTACACATCAGTACCTGTTATAGTGATGAGCAGCAGTTCAGAGGCATAGGAACGGAAGGAGCGTGAGGAGACACGGACTTCATAAACACAACTGTAGATTCCCTCATCTGAATATTCTGCCTCAGGAAAGGAGAAGGATGTAGAGATACTGACAGACCGTTGAATCCTGTGGATATTTGATTCTCTGAACAGGTAGAAAGAGCCTCCAGGAAACTGAGATTTAGTGGAACAGGTGATAGTGAAACGGTGGCCTCTGGGGATCACTGGCCCCTGAGGGCCCACGACAAACCCTCCATCAGGAGCACTGGGAGAAATACTGGGCTGCTGCAAGTGCACTAGAAAACAAGAAACATACACTGATGTGGTTACAGAACAAAAAGTACAAAGAATTTTATGAACTGCATTTTATCAAACATTTTGCAGATCTGCAGCATAAATAAAAAGTGAACACATCGACTGAGCACACTCACCCACAGTGATGGTCACAGTGTTACTCAAAGATGACTTGACAGTATTGTTCTGATAAGAGTATTGACAGCTGTATTCACCCTGATGCGAGACGTCAACATTAAGGCTGAAAGTCACAGAAGACACATGTTTCTGTGAGGATAAAAGTGATCCGTTTATGAAGAGCTGGAATTCAGCATTAGCACTGCATCTCGGTTTAGGTGTTGAGCATCTGAACTGGACGATTTCTCCAGGAGAAACAGCTGAATGTGTGGAGATTAGAGCAAGACTCGCCATCTGCAGCTCACCTGCAAAAACAACACACACACACACACAAAAGAAAAAAACACAATTATTTAAAGCTAATAATGTTTAGTGATATATATATATATATATATATATATATATATATATATATATATATATATATATATATATATATATATATATATATATATATATATATATATATATGTATATTATATTATATATATATATAGTATATAATATATATTATATATATAAAAAAGTATTTATTTAAAGCTAATGATGCTTACTGACAAATATTACAGTAATTTTTATAGCTTTTTTCTCCAAAATTTTGTTAGGATGTTCAAAACTTACTTGAACAAACAACACCAGCATCTTCACCGTGATTACAGTTATGTCTTCCCAGTCCATCGTGTGAACATTGAATGAGAGTTCCTTCACTTCCTGTACACTGAACCTCATCCAGCCAGATTGATCCACTGCCTGGACCAAATGCAGCACTATGAGGTGCACTGATGGCTGATCCACACTGTAACTGTCTGCACACCACAGCAGCATCATTCATGTCCCAGTTATCATCACACACGCTTCCCCACTCGCCATACTGGAGGATCTCCACTCGTCCACAGCATGAATCAAACCCATCAGCCAGTCTAATGGATGGCAGCTTGCCTTAAAAGAGTACAGCGGAAATTAAAACCATTAAAACACAAAACTACAGAGATTAATGCAGTAAAATACAATGTCAGTTGGACCTCAGAAAATCAGATTCCTCTTTACCCTGTGTGCAGACAACTCCTGCATCTTCATGGTGTCCACAGTCATGTTCTCCAAAACCACGGTGTGAGCAGTCTGTGAGTGAGGATTCACTTCCTGAACATCCAACATCATCCATCCAGATCTGACCACTTCCCTGGCCAAAAGAAGCACTCTGTGGTGCACTGACAGCTCCTCCACATCCCATCTGTCTGCACACCACAGCAGCATCATTCATGTCCCAGTAATCACCACACACGGTTCCCCACACACTGTTATACAGGATCTCCACTCTCCCAGAGCAGTCATTATTACCATTCACCAGTCTGAGAGAAAATCTTGCTAAAAATAAAAGAATGATAAAACACATATTTTCACATGCTAAACTTGTAGACATGCTAAAGTTAGTTGTCATGTCATGTAATTAGAATCAAACTTCTTTGATGAAAAGACAGTCTTTTACTGACCAGTTACAGAAGTTAGAGCACTGGCTGTTGAAATAAAAAAAAAACCTCCATCAGGGGCACTGGGAGAAATACTGGGCTGCGGCAAGTGCACTAGAAAACAAGAAACATACACTGATGTGGTTACAGAGCTTCAGGCATTAGATTCAAACAGCTTTAGAAAAAGTGTAAATGATTTGAACAAAATAAAATTAACTGCATTTTGTCCGACATTTTACAAATTTGCAGCACAAATACAAAAACGCATAAACTTAGAGTTAATTAATTTCTATGAAGTGTGCAATATAGACTGAGCACACTCACCCACAGTGATGGTCACAGTGTTACTCAACGGTGACTTGACTGTATTGTTCTGATAAGAGTATTGACAGCTGTATTCACCCTGATGCGAGACGTCGACATTAATGCTGAAAGTCACATTTGACACATGTGTCTGTGAGGATAAAGATGATCCGTTTATGAAGAGCTGGAATTCAGCATTAGCACTGCATCTCGGTTTAGGTGTTGAGCATCTGAACTGGACGATTTCTCCTGGAGAAACAACTGAATGTGTGGAGATCAGAGCAAGACTCGCCATCTGCAGCTCACCTGCAAAATAAATAAATAAATAAATAAAAAAATAAATAAAAAAAATGAATGAATAAAAACTATTTAAAGCTAATAATGTTTAGTGACAAATATTACAGTAATTTTGATAGCTGTTGTTTCCAAAAATTTGTCAAGATGTTTAACACTTACTTGAACAAACAACACCAGTATCTTCACCATGATTACAGTTATGTTTTCCCAGTCCATCGTGTGAACATTGAATGAGAGTTCCTTCACTTCCCGTACACTGAACCTCATCCAGCCAGATAGATCCACTGCCTGGACCAAATGCGGCACTATGAGGTGCACTGATGGCTGATCCACACTGTAACTGTCTGCACACCACAGCAGCATCATTCATGTCCCAGTTATCATCACACACGCTTCCCCACTGACCACTGTGGTGGATCTCTACTCGTCCACAGCATGAATCAAACCCATCGACCAGTCTAATGTCTGACAGCTTGCCTTAAAAGAGTACAGCGAAAATTAAAACCATTAAAACACAAAACTACAGAGATTAATGCAGTAAAATACGATGACACTTTTACACAAAATTAGATTTACCATTATCCTGTGTGCAGACAACTCCTGCATCTTCAGAATGTCCACAGTTATGTTCTCCAAAACCTTTGCGTGAGCATTGTATCAGCGAGGATTCACTTCCTGAACATCCCACATCATCCAACCAGATTGGACCACTTCCCTGGCCAAAAGAAGCACTCTGGGATGCACTAACAGCTCCTCCACATCCCATCTGTCTGCACACCACAGCAGCATCATTCATGTCCCAGGAATCATCACACACGGTTCCCCACACACCATTATATTGGATCTCCACTCTCCCAGAGCATGAATGAAACCCACCGACCAATCTAACGTCTGACACTTACATACATTTATAAACACAACATGATTAGAATGCTTATTTGGCTACTATTTTATATAATGTATATATCTATAAACTAGACATTTTGCTGTTTTCATTAAACAAGTAATATATATTTTCAAAACATCCAGTTTAATAATTAAGACAACATCATTTTCAAATAACAGAAATAACATACAGAAACATTTTGTATGTGGACAAAACAAACATGACTTTACCTAAGCAGACAACTCCTGCATCTTCAGAATGTCCACAGTTATGTTCTCCAAAACCACGGTGTGAGCAGTCTGTGAGTGAGGATTCACTTCCTGAACATCTCACATCATCCAACCAAATTCGACCCCTTCCCTGGCCAAAAGAAGCACTCTGTGGTGCACTGACAGCTCCTCCACATCCCATCTGTCTGCACACCACAGCAGCATCATTCATGTCCCAGTCATCATCACACACGGTTCCCCACACACCATTATACAGGATCTCCACTCTCCCAGAGCAGTCATTATTACCATTAATCAGTCTGAGGGAATATCCTGATAAGAATACAGTAGATAAAACACATATTTTCACAGGCTAAACAAAGACAAGCTAAAGCTTTTTGTCATGTCATGTAAGAATCAAACTTCTTTGATAAAAAGTCTTATACTTACCAGTTATAGAAGTTAGAGCACTGGCTGTTGAAATGAAAAGAAACAAAACAAAAACAAACATTTAAAACTGGAGTGGACTCAAAAATTAATATTGTTTGATGTACTGTAATAGATAATGATATTACATATGCTTGCTTTACATATACAATATTATTTCAAGGGTAAATTAACTGTGAAATCAGCTTTTACTTGAGCTTTAGATATAAGTATTGTACTAAATCAATTTCCTTTGACTTTCAGAACTGAAAATGTCCCACTGGACACAAGAAACATCAGATCCTCGAATGTACCTATTTAGCATCATATCAATGCCTTATTATTAATAATTGTTTTTATTAAGTTTTGTTTTACATCTCTATTATTTATTATGAGCTTACACAGTTGTGTCATCATTTTGAAATTGGGGATCAGACAGCAGCTCAAACAAATATGAATCACAAAGTCTACTGACATTGCATGTTGTTGCTTTTCAAAAGATTGTTCTAAAACTTTTTAAATACAATAGTTTACCTTACTAGGAAAAAACTTTTCTGATTCTCAAAAATTTCTGACATACGGTATTAATGGACAGAAAAACTGCCTTAGGAGAAGATCAAAAACACACTTCTACAATGTTGCCTTTTTTGGCTTGTCCACTTTTTTTCATTCATTCATTCATTTTCTTGTCGGCTTAGTCCCTTTATTAATCTGGGGTCGCCACAGCGGAATGAACCGCCAACTTATCCAGCACATTTTTTACGCAGCGGATGCCCTTCCAGCCGCAACCCATCTCTGGGAAACATCCACACATACACACACACACACACACACACACACTCATACACTACGGACAATTTAGCCTACCCAATTCACCTGTACCGCATGTCTTTGGACTGTGGGGGAAACTGGAACACCCGGAGGAAACCCACGCGAACGCAGGGAGAACATGCAAACTCCACACAGAAACACCAACTGAGCCGAGGATCGAACCAGCGACCCAGTGACCTTCTTGCTGTGAGGCGAACATGCTACCCACTGCACCACTGCGTCACCCTCGACTTTTTTCATTTTATAATTTTTTTTATATATTTCTAAAAAGGATAATAAATGGGAGATGCAATCATAATAGTACTACAACAACTTAATGATGGAGTCCTCTTGCAGTCTAATGATAGAGAAGATTACAATAAGTTTTTCCAGTGGCTGTGAAAGAAACAATACTTTTGCTATGTCTTCCTGTTGTTACTACTTTGTCCACACCGGACAAGGCAATTGTTCTGACGCACGTGTATGCTGTTGACAATGGCAATGCGTTTCTCCTTCATGTCAGGATGACCAAATGTCCTGTTTTTTTTCCAGGACAGTTCCATTAGTTTTTTTTAATCATTTTTATTACCAATAATGGAAAGATAATACTTTCAAAATACGTCATAGCTGAGAGTTAGTAGTAGTGTCATGGGAAAATAGTCCAATCAAAAAGTATCATGTTAAATGATATTTTTTAGAACAAAATGACCATACAATCACATTTCCACACAATTAAGTTGTAATTGGGGGTGGGGTTCCAGACCAGTCCAAGCTTTATGCCCTGCATGGCCTCACTAACTTCCGCCTCTCTCATTGACTCGCATGTACATAAACAAGTTCTACCACATGAGACATGGCAACTTTAATTGTAAATTATTTTGTTAGTCCACACACCTTTTCTATATGATTTCATTCTTATTTGACTTTATAATAAGCTAATTCTGCTGTCTAACGTAAACAACATTTAATCAACACAATTTTCATGAAATGTATAAAATGAAAGTACTGTTTCAAAATAATTATTGAAAATTTTTAACATAATGTTAAAGCAGGTACACTTTAAAAATGCTGTTAAATAGCACTAAAAGAGGTTCATTGGCTCTTAATTATAGGGTAAACTCTTGATAGGCCATGCAGGACCACTTTTTCAAAGGTGCTACACATGCAGCACTCTTGTTAAATGGTGCTATGCAGACCATAAGGTTTTTCGATGATGTTACTCAACTTATATGTTTTACTATGAAAGGGGTTTTATATAAATGAGAAGCTCAAAAAGTGTTGTGAGCGTTTCCTGGACTACTTCCTTACCCTTGCGGGCAAATGTTTTAAAATAAAGTTGAATCTTCAGGGAATAGAATGCATTTAATGTTTTGATAATTTCCCCAATGAGTTAAATAACTCTGCGTAAGCTTATGTGTCTGTCAATGGCTGTATAAAATACACACTTGGTCTGTGTGTGTAATGGACGAAGTTGTGGCAATGCAGGTGGAGTTTCAAATGCAGCTATTTATTTAAATAAGGTATGGTCGTTCAGGCATTGGTCAAAAGGAGCAGACAGCAACAACATGGGGCAATCCAAAAAGCATAACAAAAAAAAAGAGCAAGCAGAAAGCAATCATAATCCAAAAAAGAGGCAAATCCTAAACAAACCAGGCAGGGATAAAATAAACAAGAAACAAGAGATGGCTCAGAAAAGTTCATGACACGAAACAACAGCCCTTAGTCAAGGTGTGGTAGTGTGGTACATCGGTGTGGTACATTAGTATGGTGTGTGCAAAGCATGATGGCATGTGTAGTCTGATGAACGGCTGGTGAAGTTAACAGATAGCTGGAGTGCCCTCTAGTGAGTTTGGTGGGTACTCCATCTAATACTTATGACTGTGTGGGTGTAAGTGTAATTTTACTGCGGTTTCATGCTCAATTAAATACCTTTCTTCACAGTACCAAACAACATATAAAAGGCATTAGTAACTATTTACTGGTAAATGTGAACTGTTACTGTGGCGGTGAAGGGTCAGGGCTCTGTGGCTGTATGATATAGGCCCTATCACTGTTTATCCAAAATTATATATATTTTTTTCTTAAAGCTGGTGTGTAAATAACAGTATGCATTAAATAAATACAAATGTCTTTATTTCTTTACATTAAATAGTTTTAAATCACTGAACAAGTCATTTTCATTTCAGTTAGTGGCAGTTAATATCATTTTGAAATCAGACCCTACCCACTGAAAAGATTTATGCTGATTGACTTTTTAATTTAGGACTTTTTTTAACTAACTTTACCAACTAACTTTTACTCAGTAACAACTAATAACAGTTCAAATCACACATAAACTGTTAGAAAAGGGATTAAAATAGGATGTTTGTCAAATTTAATTCAGAATCAATCAATCAAAAACAACACAGGGCACAAATCAGCAGCTTCAGTTCATTTTATGAAAGAACAAGTTGTGATAATTCTCCAAAAACCTGATATGACGAATAAACATACATTTTATTTAAACATTTCATAAAGAAACACCAACAGTTTTTAAACCAAACTATTTTAAAGATGAAATGTTGTAATATTAAAACTGTGACATACGTAAATGTTTCTCATAAAAGTCCTTCAAATGTAATTAAAAATGGAAAGTGCAAAGATCGAAAATTGAATTTACCCAATATCCAAGTGAGAAGAGAAAATCTTGCCATTGTGATCCTTGTGTTGTGTAGAAATGTAGGAATATGCATTTAAAGTTTATGTTACACTACTGCTGCTTTCAAGACAAAAAGATAAAAACTGGACCACTCAATCGAATCAGTCACTTCCTTTATAACCATGTTTTCTAAAAAGTGTTTAGTCAACAAAATTCAACATCCCTTTTCTTTTTAACAAAGAATGTTGAAGTTGTATAAGCTTAATAAGTTGCAAAATCAGTCTGTTTTTCACAAGATTGCACCCTTAATAGTTTACACTGTTTAATGTGTAAGTGAATAAATCAAATAACTGATATTTCTGTGTGCAAAGGGTTTACTCATATCTTGTTCTACCAAATAAGGTAACGGTAATACTGCTCTTATCTATTAAGTAGTCCATATAAAATCACTTTTTATAATATTCCTTTGATCAAAGTTAACATTCACTTGGTGCTAAATATAAAATGTAACTTTTGATGTTCACTTTTTTGATGCAATAAAGGAATGTTTCAAGCAACAGAATATATATATATATATATATATATAGATAGCACTTTTATTCATCTTTATTAATTACTTCTATAGCACTTTTACTATGTAGATTGTCAAAGCAGCTTAACATAGACGTTCTAGTAGCTGTGTCAGTTTTTAGAGTTGAAATTCAGTTTAGTACAGTTCAGTGTGGTTTAATAATCAATGCTGAAAGTCCAAACACTGATGAGCAAATCCATCAATGCACAGCTTGGTCCCAAGTTCATAAAAAAATTTGTTATCAAATTATGTACACTCTCAGATTTAAAGGTACACGTTGGTACAAATAATGTTCCTTGAGGGCCAGTTTTGTACCTTTGTAAAAGTTGTACTTTACATGATGCAGAAAAGACCTCTTCTGATACTGTTCTGTACCTTTTATGGTACAATTCAAATGAAGTTACATAATTGTTCTCATAAAAAGGTACACTCTCAGAAATAAAGGTACAGTAGCTGTCACTGGGGCGGTACCTTTTTAAACGGTACATATTTGTACCTGAAGGGTCCATAATGGTACTTCAGAGGTACTTTTTAGGTACATTTGGGTACTAATATGTATCTTTTAAAAAGGTACTGCCCCAGTGACAGCTCCTGTACCTTTAATGTACATAAGTGTTGGACAACTCCTGCTTTGTTACAACATCTATGAAAATAAATATTACTGGAAAGGCAAAGTGATTTAAGAATAATTTCCATATATTGCCGGCAGCTAGCTCTCTGCAACTCTCACATGGTCGCCCACTGAAGCTAAGCAGGGCTGCGCCCGGTCAGTACCTGGATGAGAGACCACTTGGGAAAGCTAGGTTGCTACTCATACCTTAAAGCAGAGGTGCCCAAACTTCTTCGCATTAAGGGCCAAAAACCAAATATCATCGAGAGCCGTGGGCCAAAGGTAAAAATACCAAACTATATTACATTAAAGTTGCCATGAGCAATTTTTAAAACATATTTCAGAATATTTAAAAATCAATAAAAACAAACAAACATTACTTTAAATTGTTCTAACTAGTGCAATATAACACTTATTGCAATAAAAACATAAGAGTGAACAGTGGAGTTCAATGCTGAATACAATAGTCAAGTAGATTCTGCCTTTGCCTTTATTTGCTCATCAAAGACTCTGCATTGTCCTCTATCCATCAGGTGACAGTATGAAAATGGAAGCTAAATAAATGTACAATATTTAATTCATTCATTTATTCTTTTTTTCGGCTTAGTCCCTTTATTTATCAGGGGTCTCCACAGCGGAACGAACTACTAACTTATCCAGCATATGTTTAATGCAGCGTGTAGTAGACATGAAATGGTTAACCTGTGTCACGTGATTGTGGTGGAGGGTCACCGGGGTTACGTAGTGCCCTTATAGGAGGCACCTGTTCATTCACAACTTAGGAAGGAGAGAGAGAGGGGGTGAACGGGGACGCAGTACTCTTTGTTGACCAAACAAAACCAAACTTAAGCTCAAACTTAAGCCCAAATCAAATTCTACACTGTCAAAATATCAAGGTATGTTTTATATTGGAAAATAAACGAGTGAAAACATTGGAACGACTTCTTGCCTTGTTTACATTTGATGTTTACGTCACAAATCATGTCTCTGGTTTAGCCTCTCAGCTGTTACTCCACGTAGCCGCTACACAGCAGATGCCCTTTCAGCTGCAACCAATCACTTGGAAAACAATATTTAATTGAAACATTTAATTTAGTTTTTAACAATTAAACAAACAAAGGTTTCATTAGATTTGAAATGACAATCTCTAAACCATCCCCATCCTTCTTCCTCTCATCTCAGTTGGGATGGCGGGCCAAATCAAAGGTTACCAAGGGCCAACTTTGGTCTGTGGGCCCTAGTTTGGGCATTTCTGTCTTGGCTCACCCTAAAATTATGTTTTCAGTATCCCTGAGACCATCGTTTATTTTCAAAATGCAAACTTAAGTGAAATTTTAAGATGAAATTCCTTTTCCTCTATATAGAGCATCAGTAAAATATTAAAAAAAACATCAATGAAAATTACTTGAGTGGTTCAATCGGAATTAAATAAAGCTACAGCCATACTTTTGTGCACACATAAAACACAAATACTGACTTCATTAAACAGTTTCTTCTTCTCAGCATTAGTGTAGGGAGCAAACTCATAAGCACTTTGCACTGAGCTACTCTCAATGCATATTTGCCACTTCGTCTATTTAAAACAAGGCACAGACACATTAATACTTTGACAGTGCATCAAAGCGTCTTTAAGCCACAGGAGACGACTTGATGTCAGTGAAATGACATCATAGGACAGCCCTTTGCCTTTTGCTGAGTTTATTTTGAACATGCATTTTACAGTCATAAAAATGAAGTATCTATTATCAAGCATGTGATTTCTGAATGCAGCGTCAGAGGAAATTTTAAATGAGCTGATTCAGAGAATATCTTTGTTCTGAGAACAAGAAGTGAACACACTGATAAAACTGTGAAACAGATTAGAGGAAGTGTATTTTTTTTGTTTGCTCAGAGACTGTAAAACATGCTGTCAACATTTCCTTGTGTTGGAGAGTGCGTTTTGCATTTGAATTTTTAAAGTGACAGTATATTCAGAGCAAACTTAAAATTAGAACTGACTAATTAGAAATCATTTATTTAAGTTCCCTGGATGGCGATGACAGAGAGGCAGCAACAGCAGCTTTTAGCTGGTCTGTTCTCACCCAACAACTGAGACATAAAGACATGCCACAGAGGGGTTGTGGGCATTTGTGTCATACTGTAAACTGACATCTCTACTTCTCTCTCTCTCTCTGAGGTTCCTTGTTGATTTCTCCTTTGAAGATCACATTGTAAGAAGCTATTTAAAATGGCTAGAGCCATGCATTTTGCTTAACTTGAACTAACAAAGGCCTCCTACATTTGAACTGTTCATACAACTCTTAAATGAAACAATGCTCTTGGAACAATATACATACTATTTAAAAAACAAAGGGAATGTCTTTCAAAAAGATATGGATGCCTCTAATGAACCTCTGACTCTCTGACCACCTCAGATGTATTTTCATAACAAGAGTTTTACTCAGTCACAGCAGATTTTACTTTATTCATTTATTGCAATTTTTGTATTCTGTTTGTATTTATTAAAAGTAATTAACTAATTAATTTGTATTACTCTTGCTGCTATCCTTGTGCCTACTGGTATCCCTGTCTTTGTCCTTTTTTTGTTTTTGTTTGTACGTTCATAATAAAAACAATAAGCAAATAATTAAAAATAATAGCTAAAGCCACCATTTTCACTGAAGGAGACTGATGTTCACAAGTTTGTATATAAAAAAAAACTTTTATTGAATTTACTATTAGTGCTGTGTCCAATGAGCCCTTGTTTTCTTCACATACAATTAATTATTGATACTGGGACATTGCCTATGATATATAATTAATTCAATCACCACTAACTGTGCCTGGTTCTTATCTGGAAACTTTCAGCTCCTTCTCTCCAAAGTCTGAAGCACTTCTGTGTGATAATGAAATCGTTTTCTCACTGTTAGCTTCAGAAGTGTGAATAAGTAGACCTTTCTTTACTGTTGAAAGAATAAAAATCAGTAATGTATTTCATCATGTGTCTTCCATAGGCCTTCATTGTAATTGTCTATCATAGATAATGTTTTCTGTAATGGCTGCATTGATGTAGTCTTGTTCTGAATCATCCGTTTCCATATTGACGTAATCCTGTTCTGATTCGTCTGTTTCCACATTGACGTAGTCCGGGTCAGAGTCACCCTGGTCTATGTTCACATAGTCCTGTTCAGAGTCAGAGTCTTCACGCACTCCAGGATCCATATCTACAACTTCATAGTCATCATCAATGGTCTCTTCATTCCGCTCATTATGGAGCACAGCTGGCATGTTAACTGCATCTTGGGATACAAAATACAGAACGAAAAGGGGGGTTACTGAAAACGCAATGATGTTTACATGCACCAAATATAGGTATTTAAAGACATGCAAGGACATTGCAATTCTTCTTACCAATTGAAGAGGAACATATCTGGATTGTCTTCATTTTTTTCCTCTTCTTTACGAGCAAAACAATTAGCAGTGATGATGATATGAACAGCACGATGATTACCGCAGCTGCAATGTATACAACTGAAGACGCTGGAAGAGATTTAAAAACATTAACAGCGGTCCATCCTGCATTGAAACTACTGATAAACAACACAGTCTAGATTAGTTTTTATACTACATGTTGTTGTTTTTTTAAACATATAAACACAGTTGTATATGTGAAGATGCAACTTTGTTTGCATGACTAATCTAGATACAAAATAAAAAAGCTATCTATTCATAATGAAAGGGAGCTGACACCTTTAGGGGAGACCAGAGATAGTCATTTACATTTCTCTCCATATCTTTGAGATCTTTTAAACCAGTGTGTTCAAATTTTGACTGACGCTAGTTACACATACAGTACCTGTTAATAAATGGAATAGATCTTTACAGCAAAAACAGAAAATGCACAGTTCAGGGTTTATACACATTTTACCTACTGAAGTTTCATAACTTTTCCATGATTTTTCCAAGACTTTTAAGTAAATTTTCATGACCGAATGTTTCAAATGTCTACATATTGTCAGGGTTGGTGGAGGGGAAATGGGGAAAAAGGAGCGAGGACTCAAATGCAGGAAAATGGGGAATTTATCAAATAATAAACGTAAAATAAAATGCTAAATAAACTACCCCGAGGGCGAAAACATTACCAAAACAAATACATACACATACAAACAGGACTGGGCAGGCTGGCAAGGATGAGGACTGAAAACACGACAGGACAAGACTTCAAACAACGACATGTGATGACGAACTGGCACAGGACAGCAAACGTGAGGGGTTTATAAACCGTAGAAAATTAACACACAAACTAATTATGTTATATTATAATTAACTAATAATGGGTTAACAAGGAGGGTGGGACTAGACAATAGACGGGAGAGTGTGTGACACAGAGAGACAACACAAGCCATGCTCTCACAAAAAACAGGACAAGAACATGCAGCCAATGAGAGAACTCATTAACCGCATGTTCATGAAAACACAAGCATAACACTGAAGCACACGACAAAAGCATGTGACCACAATGTAAACACAGAGCTATGTGCTTTGACAACAGACGCAAGACACGAGCACACGATGAATAAAAACTCACCGTGCGCTCACACACGCAGCGTGCATGCTTCATCCCACCGCCGACCAAAACCGAAACCAACTAGACTGAGACGCTGGGAATGAAACACCACGCTGCAGACAGACGAAAACACAAACACGAGTACAAGAGCGCGCGTGTCCGAGGTACGCAAAGCCCACTCTGCGTACACCCATGACGGCGCGCGCACACACACAGAGACAGAAACAAGTGCTCGACCCAGCCGAGCACAACAGGACTAGACATGACTAGTGTCCGGATTCTGCCACTAAAACAAGAATTTACAAGACCAGAGTGGCAGAACCCTGACACATATGTGTGGTAAAAGAAAAACAATGCATGTTTAAATTTATTACAGTATCTCGTAAAACACACAATAGTCTATTTAGTTTAAATTTATATTTATATGAAATTTATTTAGATAATTCTTACACCTTGCTAAAAAAGTGAGAGTATGTAATTAGCCAAGGACAGAAAAGAAGTAAAGACAACTAATATATTATACAGATATCTGTTTCATGACTTTTCCAAAACTTTGTGGGTTTTTCTGATTTTCCTGATTCCAGGCCTGGAAAATGCCATGCCAAAATTCTATGACTTTTCCAGGTTTTCCATGATCGTATGAACCCTGACAGTCAAGTTTCAAACAGAAGAAGTGAAATGTTACAATTTACCCTATAGGCTGGCTCTGCACTGTAATTGCAACTGTGATTCACAAGTGTTTTCTGTTTATTTGCTTTTTGAATTGCATTATCTGACCTTAATCTCTGCTCTTTTTGACTTTTGAACTCTATAGTTTAACAAAGTGACCTATGATATTTTAGTAGTTTGAAATATTACAATATATAAGAAATAATGGTAACACTTTACAAAAAGGTTGTGTTAGTTAATGACAGCTAGATCATTTACTGGCATAAACAAACAATTAACAATACATTTATTACAGTATTTCTTCATGTTAGTTAATGAAAATTCTTTAGTTTATTGTTAGTTCATGTTAACTCACAGTGCAATAACTAGTGTTAACAAGCAATACTTTGGATTTAAATAATGCATAAGTGAATGTTGAACTATGATTAATAAATGCTGAACAAGTATTTTTCATACTTAGTTCATGTTGGTAAATACACAAACTAATGCAACCTAATTGTAAAATGTGACCAAAATAACAGAGAGAAAATAACTAAGACTGTAAAATAACAGAAAATGTACTGGCAGTTTATTACAGATTATTGTAAATCTGTAATCATTTAAAACAACAATCCAGACAATATATCACTGTAAACTATTCCACCAGGGTGAGATGTAACATTATGAAATAAGAATTCAAAATTTTAACAGTGTCTTTGAAAGCTTTTTCTTCAACACTGAGTTGTCAGTGTAATTCAGGTTTGTCTCTGTGTTACAAAGCAAGCTGGAAACAATGTGTAAATGTGCATCAGCTTCAACAATTGAACACTATTAGTGTTCGAAGGTTTCAAGAACCCACAGAGGACAGATCAAACACAGAACACAAACACCTTGGGTTTTGAGGTGATTCTCTTTCAAGAGCTGTATAAATACTGAAATTTAATAATATAAATACAACTTTAAACTTGCTTGGGAAACACTTCACTGTTTATACTAACCAGGACATTTGTTGTTACTATTGACTCAGAGTATTGCCATGAATTTGCTCACCTTGCAGCCAACAGCTAAAACATTATCACCAACAACATACATCAAAAATATATACAGACACACAATTGACATCATATAACTTTGATTGGTTTAACTACAAATCAGGAATTGCTTTATAAAAAATTATTTGATTAAAATATATTACTTTTTTAAGCTCAAATGTAGTTTTTCCCTGTTAACATCTGCTGTATTTGCCACAGACCTTTTTCATATGTGGCATGAGGACTAATGTGAGCATGTGTAAAGTGAATCAACTGATTTGTAACTAGTTCCTTATGGAGATTTGAAGTGTTACAACTGACCCGTGTTACAGCTATCTCTGGTCTCCCCTATTGGCACACATTGAGAAATAAAGATAAGTAAAATGGGCAATTTCTTCTCCAAAAATTACTGTTGTATAACTATGGTTATAATTAAGAGTTCACACTTAGCTGATGATTGATAAAAAAAAAATTGTTTGGCATGCTGTCTCAGGAGAGAACCCTGAACTAAGATCCCCGAGCTCTGGGCTCTCTCCCATTAGCAGGGTGAGAGGGGAGTTAGAGGGGAGTCGATAGATCTCGATGAACTTCCCTGACTTGTTAATGGCAAATGACAGATTATAGGGATATCTGTACTGCAGCTAATCTATAGTGCCAATTTGGTATAGTCAAATGACAAATATCGCCTGTTTTTGGACTGTGAAAGGAAACTGGGGAACTGGGGGAAACCCAAGCGAGCACGGAGAGAACATGCACACTCTGAACAGAAATCTGGTCCAGTAAGGATGCTAAACCAGTGACGTTCTTGCTGTGTTTGCTAATTACTGGGCCGCTGTGTCTCCCAATCTAGAAAAATGAGGAAGGAGTAGGGGTGGGAGAGGCTATTTTTCCAGACAAAGATACTGAGGTAAGAAACTCTGGTTATTAGTGAGTTAGAAATCGTCTCATTGCTGAATAATGTTTGAGCTAATGAGGACTAGCTGTGGACAATCATAAACACATGCTCCTCATGAAATTAGTTTATAAATAAACTTCACTTTACACAAAGACAGAGGTTTCCCTAGCCAATCCTTTTTTCTTTTATTGTAGGAAAAATTAATTAAGCATGACTTTGTCTAACTAGGGTTGACAAATGGGGTGATGACACAATCGTTTTAAGATTCATTCACTCTGGGACCTGTTTCAGCCCCCCAAAATGCTGAATCCTTCTAGACGAAATGCTGATATGAGTCAAAATATTTACGCATATGCACTGTAAAAATATAATGACAAAATGCCAACACAACAAATATTTTGTTGTTGCTTTAACTTTATTAAGTTAATCAGGTCTCAGCTATTTTTTAAGTTACATAAACATAATATTTTAGTCAATTTGATTGACGTAAGTTGAGACAAGTAGAAAGCTTAAAAATGAGGAAACTAAAAATATTAAGTAAAAATATATTGAATACTTTCTAGTCAGTAGTTCTTTAATTATTAGACAAACCCTTTTGAGCGTGTAGCTTAACATTCCAGTTTTTACTGACTTTGCAAGATAATGAGCTGTTCTAAAGTGACTGAAACAACCAGAAAGCAATCCAAACGAAGACCAAATGGATCAAGAAGCTTTCAACCACTGCAAGAGAAATTGGTAGTTCCAAAGCTATAGAATATTTCATCATTACAATGACCCTGAATAAAGTCCCTTAAGGACACTTCCTAATTTTGACTGCTGTAACCTTCGGACATTTTACTCTTTCTTCATATAACGATTATTGCTGTTCTCTCTCTCTCTCTTTCTCTCTCAATAAATATTTTTTTAAGTGCCTTGGTTGTTTAATGCTGTCACTGTTGTAGCATGCCATAGCCACAACTGAAATTCCTTAAAATGAAAACATAAAATGATTTGTCAATTGTACCTTATTTATGAAACAAAAATTTTTAAAGCGTTATAAATCATATTGTATTTTATTCTGTTTTTTTTTTTTTATCTCCATTGTATATATAATAGGATTTCAGAATCAATATGGAGTCTCAGCAGAAAACTTTAAGTAGGACAAAAGTCACAGATACACAGAATGACAGTCCATCTAAAGTATATACTGTATATCAGCTGTCTTGCGCACAATAAATAAATAATACAATTTAAAAATAATTTATAACAAATGAATCAAAAGATCAAAGGAAAGCTAAAACTCTCATACCTGCACACACGACTCCAGCGTCTTCACTATGACTGCATACTGAGGTTGCATTACGAGAACTGCAACTCTTGAAGGAGGTCTCGTTTCCAATACATCTAAACTTAATCCATGAGACATTACCAGTCCCTTCCCCAAAAATAGCTTGGCCAAGTGCAATAATTGCTCTTCCACATCCCAGCTCACTGCACACCACAGCAGCATTATTGATGTCCCAGGAGTCATCACACACGGTCTCCCACTGGCTATTAGAGTTCTTTACCTCCACTGTCCCAAAGCAGACATCTAAACCATTGACCAGTCTGATGTTCTCAGCTCCTGTCAATCAAGCAAAGAGAAGCTAATTTTAAAATCACGAAATACATAAATGCCAGTACTCATGACTCTCAAATAAAGCAACCTCAAAAATGATCACTGTCATCATTTACACATGCTCAGTATATCCCAACCATCTTTAACTTAGTTTCATTTGTGGAGCAAGAGAAAAGAAAATTCTCCTGGCCATTCAGCTAATGTCTTAGAAGTGAAGATGAGCTGTCAAGCACTAGAAATGTACATTGAAAAAACTTGACTGACTGACTGCATTAGTCATCAGTGTTTCAATTACCAGTGTTTTATGATTAAACTTTTAATACTGTATGTTTCACACACAGAGATATGTTATTACTTCAGAAGACTTGTTGTCAATACAACTTTTTGTTTTCTTTTTATGATATTTTTACGTATCAGTTTCACATATCAGTCATTTATTGTGTCGCCTCCTTTCTACACTCCTAGAAATAAAGGTGCAAAAGCTGTTATTAGGTGGTATACATATGCACAATTGTGATATTATTACAGGGACATTTTTAAGTGTAACATTTAACCCCTTAACTGTCACTGTCCTGATAGAAGGATGCTTAAGTTTACTGTATTGCAATTAAATCCTAATCTAGTCATGAAAAATTTTATATCATTGGAAAGGTATTCTGGATACATATTTTACTCATTAGTTCATTATTTAGGAAGAGTAATTGATCAAAAACATTCACTTACACCCTTCAACTTGTGACCATTTGCGGTTACATACAGTTGACGTCAGAATTATTAGCCCCCTGAATTATTAGCCCTATTTGATTTTTCCCCAATTTCTGTTTAACAGTGAGAATATTTTTTCAACACATTTCTAAGCATAATAGTTTTAATAACTAATTTCTAATAATGGATTTATTTTATCTTTGCCATGATGACAGTTAATAATATTCGACTAGATATTTTTCAAGACACTTCTATACACATTAAAATGTCATTTAAAAAAAATTTAAAACTGCTTTTATTCTAGCCGAAATAAAGCAAATAAGACTTTCTCCAGAAGATAAAAATATTAACAGACATACTGTGAAAATTTCCTTGCTCTGTTAAACATCATTTGGAATATATATATATATAAAAAAAAAAAAAAAAAAAAAAAATATATATATATATATATATAAAATAAAAAAATCAAAAGGTGGCTAATAAATTTGTCTTCAACTGTATATGTAAACCATTACATTATAGTCTAAACATTAAAAAAAATCATGACAAACTATATATAAATTAAAAGTTCAAATCTGGTGACTGATTTTGATAGATATTACTAAGCATCAGTTATTTATTAATTTGCGACGAGGCTACATGAGATTTGTAAAGCATTACTTTGCTACAGCAACCCACATGTAACAACTGTGCTTAGAGGCTAGACTCAAATCAAGTGTCACCAAACTGCTCATACTACTTTAGAATTTTGACTTTTAATGTGTTTTGGTGTTTCGTGACCCTTTAAATACTATACAAATATTACAAAAACATGTTTCATATTCTTCAAAACGTACACAGAAATAGGGGGCGCCCTCATTCGTTCACTAATTGAAACTGTCATTTGTTTGCCATGTTTGTTACTGCCGCCAAACAAAATCTTACTGAAAGTGAATTTTCTGAGTTATCAACTTTAAATATAAAAATAAAAGGCACATAACTTTTTTATTTAACTATTTGAACTCTAGCTACAATCTGACAAGTGTCTTCTCTAAAATTAGGCCAAGATTAAGTCTGTGAACTAAAGCAAAAATTGGAAATATTCCATCTATTAAATTGAACGTAATTTTTATGCCTAATTTCAAAAAGTGCGGGTGCCATTAGGGAGTTAAATTTGTAGGCTTTTTACATAATCATGTGCCGTTTGTAATCATGTGACAATTCAGACAAAACAGACATCACAACCAATTTTAGTAAGATTTTGATGTTTTAGTTTGTTTAGTTGTTTCTTCAGATTAAGTCAGTTTAATCTACAAAAAAAAAAAAAAAAAAGATTTGGTATGTGATGCTCAATTACGAAGATATTTTTGAGTGAACGATTTCTTCAACAGTAATACAGTAGAGATATTCATGTTTATCAAAGCTTTTGAAATACAGAGAGAATCACTCACCAGTGAACAGGTAATCATTTAAGACCATTGCTGCCAAAGGGAAAAAACAAGAGAGTTGCTTTCTTAGTATAGATTGCATTATAAAGTTTTATGTACAGAATAAAACAAGCAATTTTATGCAGTCTTACAGTACATAGTCCTTGGTGACATACTGTAAATATAAATTTTTACTGCAATCAGATATGTTTAATTCTTTACCAGTGTCCCAAATTTATAAAGTACACACACAATTTTAAAATGACAGTTTTACGTTGATGGTTCATTTCTTAAAAAGTATCTTAAAGTTAAAATATTCTTCACACCAATTATAATGGTTATTTTAAGTTCACTGAAAGGTTATTTGGGGGTAAAAAGCTGAAATGTCACACGTTTACACTATAACGAATGTGAATTCAATAATTTTAAGCAGTAAAATAAAACAATAAATTGTTGGAAAAAAATGTAAACAATTTTTTACCAAAAATGAAATCAAGCAGTGGTCTCAGCATTTTGTTTCTGTCATTGACCGATGTGCGTGGTGTGTATCTCTGCTGCTCTTCTCATGTCTGAGAAAGACTATAATTCACACAGACTCTAGTTCACTGTGAAGAGTATTACAACAGTTCCGCATTTCACTATTCCTGCCACTGCCTCACTCTACACTCCAGCTTCTGAGAAAGTAATCACATGAAATGGCTCAGTAATAGTTTATTTTTGTTTAAAAACAAACCGCAGTGACTGCTGATTACTGTAAAATACTCCTGTACTAAAATATTCAACACTTGTTTTCAGTTCAACTACTAAGCATTTTGCCTTATGAAATCTACTTAAAAGAAGTCAGTTTGCAAGATTTAAAAAAATAATTATAATAATTCATTTCCAGTCTGTTTATATCATTCTACTTTCTACAGAAAACAAAGTTTAATTGTTAAAATAGAATGTCTCGAAGAGCTCAAGCTCTAAACGTGTTGCTATTCTTAGACTCTTACATACTTCACAAACAGAGGGCTTCTGAAACCTGTGGTTAAATGAGTGTATATTTAAAAAAAACCACCACGCCGGCCACTTGAGTTCATTAGAATATGAAAATGTCCAGCCAATGTGCACCCTTTCTGTTCAGCAGAGCTGTTTTGTCCTGTAAGTCCAGTTTGGTTCATTATTATTTTACAAACTCAGATCTACCTAACTACAAAGCTGAACCACCTTACACAGAATTGCCACATTAATGGAAGAGTCATCAGAAAAATGAGAATGAGGAAGAGAGAGTGTGAATAAGCTATACACCAATATCTGCACCCTGAAGTGTCACTTGAAAAAAGTATTCACACCCTTCATTTTTAACAGCCTGTTATGCTGCCACTTTGCTTTTAAATGCTTTAACTGCAGACTGTCAGGAATTACAACAGTTTGTATATGTGCCTACCACTTGTTAAGGTTCCAAAAGTAATTGGACAGAATACTAATCATAAATCAAACTTTCACTTTTTATTCTTGGTTGCAAATCCTTTGCAGTCAATTACAGCCTGAAGTCTGGAACGCATAAACATCACCACACGCTGGGTTTCATCACTGTTGATGCTCTGCCAGGCCACTACTGCAACTGTCTTCAGTTCCTGTTTCCTGCTTGTTCTTGGGGCATTTTACCTTTAGTTTTGTCTTCAGCAATTGAAATGCTTGCTCGGTTGGATTCAGGTCAGATGATTGGCTTGGCTATTGCATAACATTCCACTTCTTTTCCTTTTTTGCATTATGCTTTGGGTCATTCTCCATCTGCACTGAAGCGCCGTCCATTAAGTTCTGAAGCATTTGGCTAAATCTGAGCACATAATATTGCCCAAAACACTTCAGAATTCATCCTGCTGCTTTTGTCAGCAGTCATATCATCAATAAATGCAAGAGAACCAGTTCCATTGACAGCCATACATGCCCACGCCATGTCACTAGTTCCACCATGCTTCTCTGCTTAGGATCATGAGCAGTTGCTTTCCTTCTCCATACTCTTCTCCTCCAGTCACTCTGGCACAAGCTGATCTTAGTCTCATCTGTCCATAAGATGTTGTTCTAGCACGGTAAAGGCTTTTTAGAACTTTAATCTGGCCTTCCAGTTTTTGAGGCTCACCAATGGTTTACATCTTGTGGTAAACCCTCTGTATTCACTCTGGTGTAGTGTTCTGTTGATTGTTGACTCTGACTCAAATACACCAACCTCCTGGAGAGTGTTCTTGGTCTGGCCAACTGTAGTGAAGGGTGTTTTCTTCACCAGGGAAAGAATTTTTAATTCGTCCAACACAGTTGTTTCTGTGGTATTCCGGGTCTTTTGAGGTTGCTGAGCTCACTGGTGCGTTCCTTCTTTTTAGGAATGTTCCAACAGTTATTTTGGTCAGGTTTGTTTTGTTTTTTCAGCCTGATGATGGCTTGCTTGACTGATAGAGACAGCTCTTTGGATCTCACCCTGAGAGTTGACATATTCCAAATGCAAATAGCACACTTGAAATGAACTCTGGACTTTTATTCTGCTCATTGTAATTGGGATAGTGAGGGAACACACACACATGGCCATGAAACAACTGAGAAGCCAATTGTCCTATTACCTTTGGTCCCTTAACAAGTGAGAGGCACATATGCAAACTGTTTTAATTCCTACACCGATCACGTGATTTGGATGTGAATACCCTTAAAATACAGCTGACAGTCTGCAGTTAACATGATGTGCTCTGCCATTGAACATTCAGTGGAGGTAAGATATTTTAGGCCATCTTAATTTGAACCACTAAAGTAGGAACCAATTCTCACATGATGAGGAAACTTTTTTTTTTTTTGGGCAAAACCATACCTTGAAAGCCCAGATAAATGGAGCGATGCAGTGATATTCATCCTTCTGAAAATTTCCTCCATACGCGTATGATCGCAGAGACTCTTCTCCTTCACTTGCTCAGATTGTTCAAGAGGCCAGCTTTTGAACGACTTCTGGGCTGCAATTCTTAAAACATTCTTAAGTCTACCTCATTTTTAAGTTGTAGCTTAAGTTGCACAATGTACAATGGATTTGAAATGAAACAAACAATGTGTGCTTTAAATGCATAGTAAAGTGTTCATGTATTAAAAGCACTTAACATACAGTTGAAGTCAGAATTATTAGCCCCCTTTAGATTTTTTTTTCTTTTTTAAATATTTCCCAAATAATGTTTACCAGAGCAAAGAAGTTTTCACAGTATGTCTGATAATATTTTTTTCTTCTGTAGTAAGTCTTATTTGTTTTATTTCGACTAGAATAAAAACAGTTTTCAATTTTTTTAACACCATTTTAAGGACAAAATTATTAGCCCCTTTAAGCTATATATTTTTTTGATAGTCTACAGAACAAACCATAGTTATTCAATAACTTGCCTAATTACCCTAACATGCCTAGGTAACCTAATTAACCTAGTTAAGCTTTTAAATGTCACTTTAAGCTGTATAGTCTTAAAAATATCTAGTTGAATATTATTCACTGTCATCATGACAAAGATAAAATAAATCAGTTGTTAGAGATGAGTTATTAAAACTATTATGTTTAGAAATGTTCTAAAAAATTCTCAATGTTAAACAGAAATTGGGGAAAAAATTAACAGGGAGGGCTAATAATTCTGACTTCAACTGTATATTTAAAAAAGTTATTTACAATATGGGTAAATATAATGTCACACTTCTTTACACTGTATTGACACTATATTCACAGAAATGCTGTGATATAAAAAACATATAACACTCAGCTGCAGCAAACATAATATGCAAGTAAATTTGAAAACATGTTGCAAATTTCTAGGCTTGTAAAGTGACAGCAAACTCTCAGCTGTGCCATAAAGTGAAGTGGTCAGAAGCATATTGACTTTGACCTATCAGCCTTTGTGGCTGTATTTAATACAAGCTTTCCTGCATGATCAAAAGAAATGGACAGAACTGAACAACTGAAAGAGGCTTGTGATTTTCACAACAAGTAGATAGAATTGAACAAACTAGAGGTCTGTGCATGTCATGTGCATAGTTGCAGTGAAACAATTCACTTTCCACTCTCAGAAGAACATGTAAAAGAGGAAGTCATTTTTGTCCACCGCTTTGTTCAAAGGTTCATGCCAACCGCTTCAGCAGATGTGATGCTGATGCAGAGCTGCGATAAACCATCCCATTTCAGTAAGAAAGTTAAATCATTGGCATGCTAACTCTGAAATGAGGAAAATTCTAGGTTTTGCATTTAAGAATGGAAGGTATGTCAAACTAGAGAAATTAGGGTAAGACAAGCCTGTTTCTGACTCAGAAACTGAGTCAGTTAGCATGGTAGGTTTCTCTATGAACTAGCCCTGGTGTAAAGCATATTTTCTTTGGTAAACCTAAAGTTTCTTTTGGTTCTCTTTTTTTATAGTGAAAGGGATGTTCAAGTTTTTTTTTAGAAAATGAATTATGCATTTAGTCTTGTGTAATGGAAATTCATTTTTAGATGAGCTTTATATGTTAGAAACTTGTCTAAGACTCATTATTACATGTGTGTGTATCTGTGTTCTCCATATGTTCATCATAAAACCTATGTGTACATTTTTTATAGATAACTATATTTCTTTAGGTGAAAGCTTTTTCATTATCCTAAGAAGGATGTGTGGTTGTTATGAGCATATCGCACGAACAGCAGAAGACGCCTGACGTAATTGTAGATGAGGCCTTATTGGGAGTTGACCTCGTAAGCAGTACAAACCAGATAAAAGGGTGAACACACTTGGCTTTAGTATCTCACTCTGCAGAAACTGTTGTTGCTGTATGACTGTGATCTTCTTTATAAAGAATAAAACTTGTAAAAGACATCCCGGGTAAGACTTTGTTTCTTGACCACTGAGAGAGCCTCCTTAGAGAAAATAGCCACTACATCTTGTTTTGGAGAAATTTAAGTAAAATGGAAAATAGAAAACAAGATTAATATGAATGTCTATTAATAAGCACTCCTAAACAATAAGAATTATTATTGTTTGCCATTTTAACCTATTACTTATTCTCTTTTCACCTATGATGTTATAGCAGTGATAAGAAAGATTAACCTTGCATTGACAGCAAACATCCTTATGTTAAGTGCTGTTATGTCCATGGTGAATCATAATATTAGAGCTTTGTTGATCTAGATAAAAGACCTATTTTTTTAGTAAAGCATGCACACAATGTGACACATATCGGTATGATGCAGGAGTGTGCTTTATGCAGGTCAGTGAGCTTGACAACCACATGTAGGACACACTCCTCCTGTCTTAATGCACCAGACACTTTGTTAGAATTACTCTGTTTGTTTATATTGCTACAATTTTCAATTAAAGCACTTCATTTTCACATTGATATTTAATATTTCTTGTTTAAATATACTATGAACAACAGCTACACAAATAATTTTCTTTATTCTCTATTTTCACCTATTTTAATATGGTGTATCTTGTAGCCTTATATTCATGTTTGGTATTATTTTAAATGTCTCTGTGTGATTGGTAAAGTGGTCTTAATCTTTCTGTAATATTTCACTTGTATATGTTGATTTGGGTTTTGGCTTTGGCTTTAGTAAGATCTTTAGAACTCATTACCAGGCAAGGGAGCTTTTGTTGTCGAGAGTTTATGAGTTTATGATTGTTCTGAGTTTAGTAAATAAGGTAATAGTGTGACAAATATCATTGGGTTGCAGCATCTCTGAGACTTATGCTGCAACATACTTCTCTGGTCAGTTAAGCATCTCCAACTCTTTAATTTATCTTTGAGTAATGGATGTTGTATTTTTACAGTATCATCTCTTAATTGGCTTTCTGATGGTTTTATTATGTAATTGGCAGAATACAATTTTACCTGACAAATAAAATGTTAAGTTTTGATTTATTCTGAATTCTCATGAAATCTTTTTATATCCAGTATATTATATTAAGTGGAGTCTGCGCTATATGATTCAACATAGTTAGATTTGATTAATAGATGCATTTGACTGAACGAAGCCGTTTTGGCACGACAGCATGAAGATCTTTTCATCATCTAATCATTGAAATTAGCAAGTTGGGCTTGGCTAAATAGACTATTCTTTTAGGATGAGTGAGCAGTTCACAAGTTACTTCAGAGTGTCGACATACTGTCCGTGAGAAGACACGCAATCCCAAGGTGTGAAACTCTGAGCTGCGTTTGGTCCCTTATAAACGTATAACTGAAGAGTATGGGAACAGATATAAATCAAAACTCTAAATTAGGTCATAAATGATGAATGTCATCCGTTCTTACAATTAGAAATACAGTATAAATTTTACGATTACTTAAAATTGGAGTCAGATAAAATTTGGAGCTCAAAAACAAGTATAAATAAATTCTGATAAATAACACAATTCTTTTCAGAAGCACTAGAAAAGGCTTACATGCAGTTAAACTTCGACCCTGCTGTTAGTTTTGTCATTGGGCTAATAGATGGACTTCTACAGGATAAATGGTCATCCCAACTGAGCCTGGTTTCTCTCAAGGTATTTTCTTTCACTTTTGTCAATTGGTGAAGTTTTGTTCCTCGCTGCTGTGGCCTCAGGCTTGCTTAGTTTGGGACTTGTGGAGCTGCGGAACGGATTTGCTCTTCAGTGTTTGGACTTTCAGCAGTGAAATTTAAACCACACAGAACTGAACTAAACTTCAACTCTGAAATCTAAACTGACACAGTTTCAATTTACTTGAACTTCTATGTTAAGCTGCTTTGGCACAGTCTCTATTGTAAAAGCACTAGAGAAATAAACATGAATTAAATTGAATTATGTTGATAGTAGCTCTAATGCGAGCCAACCTATTGAGAATTGAATGAATTATCATAATTCAACCAAAAACTCCCCATGCCAGTTTTTCCCCATCTCAGGCTAAATTAATTCAGAATTTAAGTTTTAACTCACAGCTGGTGGAATCTAATAATTGAAACAGGCCTCAGGTCAACCATAACTGTTCAAATCACACACATACAGCTGGAAGGGCATGCACTGTGTAAAACATATGCTGAATAAGTTGGCGGATCATTCCGCTGTGGTGACCCCTGATGAATAAAGGAACTAAGCCGAAGGAAAATGAATAAATAGATGAATTTATATTTACCCACACCTGTTAGCTCAGTCTTTTGTGTTGAACACAGTAGAAATGGGGCAGCCACCAAACGCCACCAAAACTAATAAATATGCCCTTGAATAACATTTTGAATTGCTCAACAGTAGTATATTTTGTTTTTCTATTACTGGTCTTTTTTTCCATGTATAGTAGGCAAAAACACAAGCCCCGAGATTCAGTATATAGTGACAAAAACAAAGTCAATAAGTTCACTAAAAAGTACAAATTAAATGACATTTTAGTCAAAGAATATATATATATTTTTAACAGATAACTCAAGCAAATCCACAGCCAGCATCCGTGAGCAACACTTTTACTTCTATCTGAATAAATCGGCACTTTTAAAAGAATCATTATGACTCCACAAGTCACTCAAAAAATCAACATAGCTTTGATATATTAAACTTTAGGACTGTCATTTGAACAGAATATTTAGTCTCCCTATACAGTACCTCTATGGGGGATTTGAGAGAGGTTAAAACCGGGCAACTCAACTATGACAGAAAGCCACCCACATGTTTGTTTATTTTCTAGCATTTCACTCATATGTATGCCATAAAAGTGTTTGACTTGACCCATGATGTATGCGTTTCTTGATTTAAACACCTTTTTTAAAAACATTTTTGACAATATTTACACACTGTAAAACCCAACAGTCAACTTTTTCAAATGAAATGAGTGTAGTCAACTCAAAACTTACTGAAAGTTAATTCTACTTTTTTGAAACTGTAAAAGGAACGAGTTAATTAAATACCTCATTACTGTTACATTACTCATATGCAACTTAAATGGAGGAAGTTCACAGTACTCGTATAGATTCTTTTTTTTTAACTCAAATAGTTTGTAGTAATTGGTTTCCTCAAATGGTTTGAGTTGCCTTAACCCATCAGTGCATTTTCAAAGCAATCCTATAAAAAAAAATTTCCTAGATGTTCAGCAGATTTTAAATAACACTGCTAAAGAGGCAGAGCCTACTGCTGAGGGATGCCTGGACAGTGCAGATTGATGCATCTGGTTGTATTGCCAAGAACTGGAATACCCACAAACACTTTTAATTGCTCAACAGTGGTAGATTTATTTTACTATTAATAAGTAGGCAAACATACAAGCTAACGTTCAGTAAATCCATCAGTAATTCACCTTTAAAAAAGATTTCTAAAAAGATTTTAAAAGATTCTAAAATTCAAAAATAAAAATAAAAAATCTAAAACGACATTATATATACTTTTGAACGTGCATGATATAAACAGCATAGCATGGTGGTGTTTTGAAAAAACTGTACACCTGACTTTCTCTACAGCTGTTAAAGAAACCCACCTGTTCCCACCTACTTTTTGTGTACAACTAAACAAGAAGGACCTCTACTGGAAATAAATGTACATAACTATTTAAAGTAAACACCAAAATGAATTCTTTAAAATGAATTATTATGCATAGATCACTAATATCTTTGCAAGATTATAGATGTATTTTCTCTTGTTTGTAGTCTCAACTCAAGTCTAATTTTTCAGTTTGAAGCCTCGTTGGTTCTTCACTTACTCAGTATTCATCATAGCAGATTTCATAAATGTTATCATCAGATTTGTTTGCCATGGTTTAATTCTCTTTAACATCCAATAATCAATAATATATCAATCAAAAATTGATATAATCTTCTTCAGAGTCATCCAAATCCACATTAATATAGTCCTGTTCTGCATCATCAGCATCATGATCATCATCATCCACAATCTCATAATCTTCTTCAGAAACTTCATGCTTCATGTTTTCATCACATTCTGGATTTTCATAATCAGGCTCATCATCATCATCATCATCATCATTATCATCATCTTTCTTATCATCATTACATGTGCTATCATGGGATCCACCGGCAATTTTATTAACTGGACCTAGTGGCATTGTACAAATATGAAGGCACATACAATAATTATTAAGTATAGTGTCAAAACACTAAAATTGTTCAAATGCAACTGATAACTATCATGGAAATACCTTTTTTAAAAGAGCACTTAGAACGATCTTCTTTCTTCTTCTGTCTCCTCTTAAGAAACATGACGATGATGAGGACAGTCAGTAAGAGCAGTCCAGCTGAAAGAGCAGCACCAATGACAGCAGAAAGCAGAGACGCTGAGAGAGAAACACACACAGTTTGAGCTCAACTTTTATTAGCAGCAGTCCAGCTTGTGTTCAGACTCGTACACATCAGTACCTGTGATAGTGATGAGCAGTAGTTCAGAGGCAGAGGAACGGAAGGAGCGTGAGGAGACACTGACTTCATAAACACAACTGTAGTTTCCCTCATCTGAATAATCTGCCTCAGGAAAGGAGAAGGAGGCAGAGAGACTGACATACCGCTGAATCCTGCTGATATTTGATTCTCTGAACAGGTAGAAGGAGCCTCCAGGATACTGAGATTTAGTGGAACAGGTGATAGTGAAACTGTGGCCTCTGGTGATCACTGGCCCCTGAGGGCCCACAACAAACCCTCCATCAGGAGCACTGGGAGAAATACTGGGCTGCTGCAAGTGCACTAGAAAACAAGAAACATGCACTGATGTGGTTACAGAGCCACAGGCATTAGATTTAAACTGCTTTAGAAAAAGTTACAATAATTTTATGAACTGCATTTTATAAGAATTACATTTAATCCACAAATATTAAAAAAAAAAAAAGCTTCTACACAAAATCCAAAATTACAAATCCAAAATTAAATACAAAATGATTCTGTAGGTCTATGGATCTGTATGTATCTGTAGGCAGTGGGAGAAGACTGAACACACTCACCCACAGTGATGGTCACAGTGTTACTCAATGTTGACTTAAGGCTCCTCTGGTAAGAGTATTGACAGCTGTATTCACCATGATGCGAGACATCAACATTAATGCTGAAAGTCACATTAGACACATGTGTCTGTGAGGATAAAGATGATCCATTTATGAAGAGGTGGAATTCAGCATTAGCACTGCATCTTGGTTTAGGTGTTGAGCATCTAAACTGGACGATTTCTCCAGGAGAAACAACTGAATGTGTGGAGATCAGAGCAAGACTCGCCATCTGCAACTCACCTGCTAAACGAATATGCATTTATTTAAAACAACTAGTGTCATGAAAACATGAATTTTATAAAACCTAATCTAATTCCTAATTGTTAAAAATAATGTATTAGAATGCTAAAGACTCGACTTACCTGTACCGTAACAAACAACACCAGCAACTTCACCGTGATTACAGTTATGTTTTCCTACTCCATTGTGTGAACACTGAATGAGACTTTCTTCACTTCCTGTACAGTTAACCTCATCCAGCCAGATAGATCCACTGCCTTCACCAAATGCAGCACTATAAGGTGCACTGATGGCTGATCCACACTGTAACTGTCTGCACACCACAGCAGCATCATTCATGTCCCAGTTTTCATCACACACACTTCCCCACTCGCCATTGTGGTGGATCTCCACTCGTCCACAGCATGAATCAAACTTGTTGAAGATTGGTGGGACCAATCTAATGTCTGACAGTTGCACAAAGTTATAAATACAACACAATGAAAATCCTTATTTAGTTAGTATTTTGTATAGTAAATATATCTATAATCTAGACTTTGTTTAGAGTAAAGCACAAGCATTAGATTTTTGTAAATTTACCTTTCATTATATTTTTGTTTATTTGTTTTGCTATTTTTGTTAAGCAAGTAATACATTTTTAAACACTCATCACCTAACAACATAATTTTCAAATAACAAAGGACTTACAAATAAGAAAATACTACATGAAATCGTAAGGTAATAGCAGCAAAATACAGCAACATAATATTGGATTGGCATGATTTTACCTAAGCAGACAACTTCCGCATCTTTTTGATGTCCACAGTTATTTACTCCAAAACCACGGTGTGAGCAGTTTGTGAGTGAGGATTCATTTCCTGAACATTTGACATCATTCAACCAGATCTGATTCCTTCCCTGGCCAAAAGAAGCACTCTGTGGTGCACTGACAGCTCTTCCACATCCCATCTGTCTGCACACCACAGCAGCATCATTCATGTCCCAGTCATCATCACACACGGTTCCCCACGTGCTGTTATACAGGATCTCCACTCTCCCAGAGCATGAATGAAACCCACCAACCAATCTAATGTCTGACAGTTACACAAAATCATAAACGCAACATGATCAGAATCCTTATTTGGTTTGTATTTAAATAGTGTATAAATCTATAATCTAGACATTGTTAAGAGTAAAGCACAATTATAAGTTTTATTAATTTTTTTGTTAAGTTTATTTGTTTAGCTATTTTTGTTAAGCAAGTAATATTTTGTTTAACAGTTATCACTTAAATAATTAAAACACCATCATTTTCAAATAACAAAGGAATTAAAAATAAGAAAATACTTCATAAAATCTAAAGGTGATGACAGCAAAATACAACAACATAATTTTGGATCTGGAGAAAACAAACATGATTTTACCTAAGCAGACAACTCCTGCATATTTTTGGTGTTTACAGTTATTTACTCCAAAACCACGGTGTGAGCAGTCTCTGAGTGTAGATTCACTTCCTGAACATCTCACACCATCCAACCAGATCTGACCACTTTCCAGGCCAAAAGAAGCATCACTTTCTTTACTAATAGCTTCTCCACATCCCATCTGTCTGCACACCACAGCAGCATCATTCATGTCCCAGTCATCATCACACACGGTTCCCCACGTGCCGTTATACAGGATCTCCACTCTCCCAGAGCAAGAATGAAACCCACCAACCAATCTAATGTCTGAAAGTTGCACAAAATAATAAACACAATGTGATTAGAATCTATATTTGGCTACTATTTTATATATAATACTATTAATATTTATTAATATATAATACTAATAATATTTATATACTGTATATATATGAACCAAGCAAAAATTTTAAATGGAACTAATTTAGTTCCATTTAATATTTTTGCTTGGTTCACGAAGCAAGTAATATTTTTTTTAAAATACTTATCACATGAATTATTAAGACAATATATTTTTCAAATAACAAAGAGAGAAAAAAATACTACATGAAACTAAAGGTGATGACAACTAAATATAGCAACATAATTTTGTATGTGGACAAAACAAACATGATTTTACCCTTTAAGCAGACAACTCCAGCATCTTCATAATGTCTAGAGTTATTTACTCCAAAACCATGATGTGAGCAGTCTCTAAGGGAGGATTCATTTCCTGAACATCTCACATTATTTAACCAGATCGGACCACTTCCCCGGCCGAAAGAAACATTATTTGGTGCACTAACAGCTCCTCCACATCCCATCTGTCTGCACACCACAGCAGCATCTTTCATGTCCCAGTTATCATCCCGCACGGTTCCCCACGTGCCATTATACAGGATCTCCACTCTCCCAGAGCAAGAATGAAACCCACCAACCAATCTAATGTCTGACAGTTGCACAAAATAATAAACACAATGTGATTAGAATCTATATTTGGCTACTATTTTATATATAATACTATTAATATTTATTAATATATAATACTAATAATATTTATATACTGTATATATATGAACCAAGCAAAAATATTTAATGAAACTAATTTAGTTCCATTTAATATTTTTGCTCGTTTCATGAAGCAAGTAATATATATTTTCAAAATACTTATCACATGAATTATTAAGACAATATATTTTTCAAATAACAAAGAGAGAAAAAAAATACTACATGAAACTAAAGGTGATGACAACTAAATATAGCAACGTAATTTTGGATCTGGACAAAACAAACATGATTTTACCCTTTAAGCAGACAACTCCAGCATCTTCATAATGTCTAGAGTTATTTACTCCAAAACCATGATGTGAGCAGTCTCTAAGGGAGGATTCATTTCCTGAACATCTGACATTATTCAACCAAATCGGACCACTTCCCTGGCCAAAAGAAACATTATTTGGTGCACTAACAGCTCCTCCACATCCCATCTGTCTGCACACCACAGCAGCATCTTTCATGTCCCAGTTATCATCACGCACGGTTCCCCACGTGCCATTATAAAGGATTTCCACTCTACCAGAGCAGTCATTAGTACCATTCACCAGTCTGAGAGAAAATCCTAATAAAAATGCATGATAAAATGTTAAATAATAAAATTAAAAAGTAACATGCTTAACTTGTAGACAATTTTAAACAGTCCATTTCACATCATGTAGTTTTAAAAAACGAAAAGTCCAATACTTACCAGTCACAGAAGTTAGAGCACTCGCTGTTGGGATAAAAACAGACATTTGAAAAATTGCAGAATTACAATTAGATTTGTAACACAAATTTGTAGATTTGTGTTAGATTTAGCACACATCATAATCTAATAGCTATATGTAAAAACATTTTCTCAAAATGTAATAAAATAATGATCTCAAATTTTAATAATTATTATAACAATATGAAAAATGCTTTACATTATAAACTCACCAATTGTCGCATTGTTGTACGAGTCTAAATTAAGTGTGTGCTAATAACACACTTAGTGAACTAACTGCATTGTTAATACAAGGCCTGCCACTGTTAACTTCCTTTGCTGGTGGGTTAGCATCTTAATAGCAAATAAAGTTAGTAATTGCTGATCCTGTTTGCATTTCAAAATTTGTTATATTTGTGTTTGAGATTTTAGAAGCCACAGATGCATTCTAGGCTGCATGTCATGTATAAAAAGGAATTAACAGTATGCTAATATTAAATTTAAGGTACTTGTGTTTCGTATGTCAGTTTTATCTCCTAGAAGTAGAAAACTCTGCTATTCTCAATATGCCTTGTGGTTCCAGGGTAATAATTACATTAACTATGAACATGCTTTCTTACAGGATTCAGCCTTGAACATTGCACTTGATCATGCTTTTTAAAAAAAAAACTTAATTTGAAAGTATTTTGAGCCAGATCACAATCACATCTCAGGGAGTTCTCACACTATGTACATTTGCCTTGAACCGGGCCAAAGCACACTTGTCCCCTCTCCCATCTCCCCTGACGGCCTGCACTCACATTACACGCTTACGTTATTGATGCTGCGCTGTTCAGTAAGTGCTATCGCTCAGCACAGTGTAGAGTTCTTTAGTTATATCGTTTATATTGTTTAATATGCAGTGACATGCAGTCAAATTTTTCTCAGAACAGATCAGCCACTTTTGACGCTCATAAACCATCATAAAGTCCTTGTGCTGCAGGAATTAGGAGGTTTGCTGAAGATGAGCAGCCATCATGCAGTGAGGGGTTTGCGTCTTTAAGAAACTACGGCAGTTTGTGTTCATTGAACAGTGAGATTAATAAATCCATATGAAAAACACAAACGTACCGTGCCAAAGCCCAAGTGAAACGCCCGATTCAGAGCACTCACACTTCTCAAACGATCCGGGAAATGGGCCTGGGCACGGTTCAGATAGCATAGTGTGAGTAGGCCCTCATACTCAAATTCCATGCTGGCTCCTTGTTACAACAAAACGTAAATTTGTCGTAAAATTTCCACACTTTTTTTAGGGGCATGTTTACACAAAAACGTAGCTTCAGCTGAAATGCTGCGCACTTTAAACATTTCAAATCTTCACACACATAGTCAAATTCACAATTTGTCTGACACTGCTTCGTATAGATTCTGCATGTTATTTAAGTCTTTTCAATCAGACTTTATCATAACTATAGATTTTTCATCTATATATAATTTTGGGTTGTTTTAATTTTTTAACCAGTTACTTATTATTTGTTTCAATAAGTTATATCAAAATGTAAATTAAGTTTCTAAATCCAAAATGCTAAAATATTGTTGCTTTTGTAACATTCTTGACATCTCTACAACAAATATTAATTGTGTTCACTTTGTATTTAATCCATTTGAATGCAATATCCGTTACGGACAGTCCGTGATGACGTCCAGTTCATTCATGGTTGTAACCTATCCTTTCGGGTTTCTCCCTTCCGTCGACCACAGACTAGTTATCCAATTAGCAATGCCTTTACTCCTGATTGACTTAACCTGTCCCACCAGTCTCATCCAGTGGAGCAATTAAAGAGGAAGTATCGCCACCTCAGAGGCCTTCCACTACGTACCCTTAATGATGTCCAACCCTTGCTGCTTGTTGGCTCAGACCAGCCTCACCTGATCACTCCTACTGAGCCGATTCGATGGGGCGGCCCAGGAGCCCCAGTTGCTGTTCGTACTCGCCTAGGATGGTCACTACAAGGTCCTGCCCCTTCTATGGGTTATCCCTCTCCCTCTCAGCAGTGCTTGCATACCTCTCTGGTTCCTGCTCAAGATGAGCTCCTTCATCACGTTCAGAGATTGTGGCAGTTAGATACAGTGCCTTACCATGACTCAAGAGATGTAACTCGTTCCAAGCAGGACCAGCAAGCCCTTCAGTTGCTTGACCTGAAAACCCGTACCATGGAGGTAGCAGGAGTTCAATGTCTAGCCACCCCTCTTCTGCGTCATAAAACCATGCCTGTGTTAAAAGCTCCAAAGGATTCAGTCTTACCTTCCCTTCGGAGTGTGGAACGACGTCTGCTTAAGGATCCTGAAAAAGCTGAAACCTACAGAGCAGAGATACGAAAACTGCTTGAGACTGGAGCTGTCAGAGTTGAACCAGATCAAATTGCTGAGACCGCTGAGTGTTGGTACATCCCACACCACATCGTTTGTCACAACGGGAAGTCTCGTCTTGTGTTTAATTGTTCCCATCAATATCGAGGTCATAGCCTTAACCAGTATCTCTTACCCGGACCTACTCTAGGAGCTTCCTTATTAGGAGTCCTCTTACGCTTCAGAGAGCATCCCGTGGCTGTAAGCGGAGATATTAAGGCAATGTTCCATCAGGTTCGCCTTCTGCCTGAGGATTGTCCCCTGCTCCGTTTCCAATGGTGAGACCTCCAGACCAGTGAGGCAACACTGGGTCTGAGTTGGAATTGGCAATCTGATAACTTGTCCTACAAGCATAGACCTGTCGCTTATCAGACACCTACACTACGGAACATCTATAGGGTCCTTGCTTTCCAATACGACCCACTGGGATGGCTCCTTTCATTCACAACCAAGACACTTGTGGAACAGACAGCGAGAATGGGATGATCCCAACCTACCGCCTGACCTCCTTCAATCCTGGAGTGAGTGGGAACAGGAACTTAGTCATCTCTCTGATGTCTCCTTTCCTCGTCCTTATATTCCTCTCGTTCCTGAAATGGAGGGAATCACCCGCGAGATTCACATCTTCTCGGATGCCTCAGAACAAGCCTATGGAGCAGTAGCTTACTTGCGCACTGTTGACTCAACAGGTCAGATCTACCTTTCATTCCTTATAGCTCGTTCCCGTGTTACCCCTAGGAGAGTACATTCCATTCCCAGACTGGAACTCTGTGGGAGCTTGGTTGCAGCCCAACTGGCAAAATTGTTACAGAGTGAGATGACTTTGTCCATTCAGTCAACTGTGTTGTGGACTGATTCTACGACACCCCTTCAGTGGATAAGATCTAAGTCATGCCAGTACAAAGTTTTCGTGGGCAACAGGATCGCTGAGATTCAAGAACTTACCGACCAGTGCTCCAGGCGTTATGTTGGCTCTGCAGAAAACCCTGCTGATGACCTTATGAAAGGAAGATCACTTTCCTACTCCAAACCGCTGGTCACAGGGACCTTCTTTCCTTCTCCTTGACTCTCAAGAATGGCCAGTCTTTCCTACTACTGCGCCTCATGCAGATACAGCTGAGTTACGGAAGTCTACCTTCTCTGGAGTCATTAACTTGGTGACTTCTAACTGTCACCCCAACGAATGGGATTCACCTACCTGGTTGAACTGTTGGATGTCACAGTCCGAAAACTTAATAGTGACCTAGATCCAAAAGCTGTGCCAATTGCTGCCAATTATCTGAAAGCAGAAATCCACATTCTCAAATGTATCCAACAGGAATCCTTCCCTGAAGATTACCGCCTGTTAGAATCAGGGAAGTCTGTTAAACCAAGCAGTCGTTTAGTAGCCCTGGCCCCAGAGATAGATCCATCTAGTGGCTTGATCAGAGTGGGAGGTCGCCTGAGGAGGGTTGCTGACCTTGCAGATACCATTGTCCATCCGGTTGTCCTAGACCCTAAGCATCCAGTTACTCGCCTGATCATCCAGCATTATGATGGCCAGTTACATCATCCTGGCTCAGAGCAACTGTTTGCTGAGATAAGAAGAACATATTGGATCCTGCGAGGCCGTGAAGCTGTAAGACAGTTCCAACGTACCTGTACAGAGTGTTGCCGATGGAGAGCTCAGCCTTCAGTGCCTCGAATGTCTGATCTACCCCATGCCCGTCTTCAGCTTTATAAGCCTGCCTTTCATTCATGTGGCATGGATTGCTTTGGACCTTTCTTAATTAAGATTGTGAGGCGTACAGAGAAACGCTAGGGGATTCTTTTTAAGTGCCTGACCTCCAGAGCTGTCCATCAAGCCTGAGCAGTGACTCCTTCCTGATGGCCCTTAGGAGGTTTATTGCAAGGAGAGGTAGCCCAGCAGAGTTATGGTCAGACCAGGGAACCAACTTCCGTGGAGGTGAGCAGGAGTTGCGAGAAGCCTTTACCTCCTTAGTTCCTGAGTTGCAGAAACAGTTGGCCCGCCAAAAGATCCATTTCCACTTTAATCCACCAGCAGCCCCTCACTTTGGCGGAGTCTGGGAAAGGGAGGTGAGATCTGTAAAATCAGCACTGTACACTGTTTTGGGCACCCAGTCTGTTCCCGAGGAGGTCCTGATGACCGTTCTATTGGAAGTTGAGGCCATCCTTAACGCAAAACCTTTAGGCTATGCCTCATCAGATGTGGCTGATGCTGACCTGGTCACCCCTAGCAGTCTGCTCATGGGACGTCCAGATGGATCTTTACCTCAGGTGATTTACCCAGAATCAGAAATGTTGAGTCGCCGAAGATGGAGACATTCCCAAATCCTATCTGATCAGTTCTGCGCCAGATACATTCGGGACTATCTTTCTAGTCTGCAGACGAGGCAGAAATGGCGAGCCTCACCTCCTGATCTAAAGGAACATACTTGTGTCATGATTGTTGACCCTCAGCTGCCTCGAGGTTTGT